GTGTGGGGGGGTAGGGGTGGTTTCCTCATCGATACTCTATAATAAAATTACCGCCTAATTAATGTGTCTAATCTAAAAAGTGGTTTTCTCGCAATTTCTTTAATGCAATTCTTCGTGTAGTGGCTAAGCGCGACACCAGTGTTTCTTTCAGACTTTTTCCTCCCCGGAGAGGGGTGGGGGGTACTTGAAATTTTTGGGGGCGGGGGTAGAATTTTCGGGGAGGGGGCGGACACTGGAAAAAGTATATAATTATATTTCGTTGAATGGGACGGTAGACATGTTTTTTTGGGGGGTGGGGGTGGGTGGGGGTGGGGGTGGGGGTGGGGGGGTGGTGTGTGTGGGGGGGTGGTGGGTGGTGTGTGTGTGGGGGATGGGTTGGTTTTAGTTTAGAGAAAAGAGACAGCACTATCAACCTAGCGCCCGGTGTATCCTTCCTCAACGGGCCATTTTTCTCGTGAGTAAAATATAAGTCGCTGCATTAAAATAAATGCTCTTTTTTTTTAGATTAAAGTTTATAAAAACAAACCAATGAGTAGGTCTATAGATCTATATATTAAATTTGACTTGGTCCAGCCAACTTTATTGTCGGATCCCACAGAAAAATATAATACTATATATATATATATATATATATATATATATATATATATATATATATATACATACATATATATATATATATATATATATATATATATATCAGTTAACTCCTTAAAACAAGCAGGGCTATCACTAGCTAACAGAAGTACTTAGAAAAATATGGAGTTATCAAATTGGTTTAACTGAAGCAAATCATCGCATAGTTATGATTTTTTTTTAAATATATAAATTATCACTAAACATTATTTCAGAGGGAATGTAGAAGCAACATTCATGGGTATATGTAAGTAAAAACAGGACCACCATTTTCAGCCCTCACGATGTACACCATATCTGTCCATCATTCAGACTAATGAACACCACTATCATTACCGGCTGCTTGAAAAATTTATTCACCCGCACTGTAACCTGCTGGTTCGCGATACTCAGATGGATTCCCTCCACTGGCTCGTATGTTGTGGGGGTGGGGGGTCGCCACTAGTATGCATGTTGTAGGGGTGGGGGGGGGGGTCGCTCCTAGTATGCATGTTGTGAGGGTGGGGGATCGCCATAGTATGGATGTTGTGGGGGTGGGGGATCGCCCCTAGTATGCATATTGTGGGGGTGGGGGATCGCCATAGTATGGATGCTGTGGGGGTGGGGGATCGCCCTAGTATGCATGTTGTGGGGGTGGGGGTCGCCCCTAGTATGTATGTTGTGGGGGTGGGGGTCGCCCCTAGTATGCATGTCGTGGGGGTGGGGGATCGCCCCTAGTATGCATGTTGTGGGGGTTGGGGATCGCCCCTAGTATGTATGTTGTGGGGGTGGGGGATCGCCCCTAGTATGCATATTGTGGGGGTGGGGGATCACCCTAGTATGTATGTTGTGGGGGTGGGGGTCGCCCCTAGTATGCATGTCGTGGGGGTGGGGGATCGCCCCTAGTATGCATGTTGTGGGGGTTGGGGATCGCCCCTAGTATGCATGTTGTTTGTGTGTGTGGGGGGGGGGGGGGGTAAATCGCCCCTAGTACACATGTTGTACAGTTGTACACATGGGATCGAACCTAGTATGCATGTTGTGGGGGTGGGGGATCGCCCTAGTATGTATGTTGTGGGTGTGGGGGGATCGCCCTAGTATGTATGTTGTGGGTGTGGGGGGATCGCCCTAGTATGTAAGTTGTAGGGGTGGGGGATCGCCCCTAGTATGTATGTTGTGGGGGTGGGGGATCGCCCTAGTATGTATGTTGTGGGTGTGGGGGGATCGCCCTAGTATGTATGTTGTGGGGGTGGGTGTCGCCCCTGGTATGCATGTTGTAGGGGTGGGGGGTAGCCCCTAGTATGTATGTTGTGGGGGTGGGGGATCGCCCTAGTATGTATGTTGTGGGGGTGGGTGTCGCCCCTGGTATGCATGTTGTGGGAGTGGAGGATCGCCCTAGTATGTATGTTGTGGGGGTGGGGGATCGCCCTAGTATGTATGTTGTGGGGGTGGGGGATCGCCCTAGTATGTATGTTGTGGGTGTGGGGGGATCGCCCTAGTATGTATGTTGTGGGATTGGGGGATCGCCCTAGTATGTAAGTTGTAGGGGTGGGGGATCGCCCCTAGTATGTATGTTGTGGGGGTGGGGGATCGCCCCTAGTATGTATGTTGTGGGTGTGGGGGGATCGCCCTAGTATGTATGTTGTGGGGGTGGGGTATCGCCCCTAGTATGCATGTTGTAGGGGTGGGGGATCGCCCCTAGTATGTATGTTGTGGGGGTGGGGGATCGCCATAGTATGTATGTTGTGGGGGTGGGGGATCGCCCCTAGTATGGAACATGTTTGCATGTTCTGTGAGTGTGTGGTTGGTGGGGTGGGGGGGGGGGGGAGTAGTCTGCACTGGCATACAATAAAAATAATAAAAATAATATTCACACACACACACACACACACTACATTTTGTTTATATTTATTAACCTTAAACTATAGTCTGTTGCATTTTGTATGAACCCAATAGTGTACACTTCTGTAGTATAGATACTATTGGGAGGGACGTTATATGTAATTTAGTTAGAACTTAAAGATCATGGGGTATATAAATTATATATAGTGGGTGGGTGGTTGGGTGGGGGTGGGGGGGTGGGAGGGGGGGGCGATAGTCTTAACTAGCATGCAAGTCTGCTTTCTCTGTCGGGGGTGGGGGAGGGGAGGGATAAGTCTTCACAATCATGCAACCCAATGCATGTTCTGTGTGTTTGTGGGGGGGGGGGTAGTTTTTCACTTAAATATATATATATATATATATATATATATATATATATATATATATATATATATATATATATATATATATATATATATATATATATATATTTTACATAATATAAATAACATAAATAATTTAACATAATATAAATAACCTCATCCTTGTTAATTCATCGTGACAAACTATTCTTATACGGTACAGTTTGTTGTTGTTTTCGTTGGTTTGTTTTTCGTTGGTTGGTTGTTGATGTTATTTTTAAAGGAAGGATCGACGTGTTAGAAAAAAAATGAAAGTGTTGTGTAAGAATCACTTAATAAAGTGGAATTATCATTTTTCTCTATATATTTTGCTATTTTTCGCCTTGGTGTCACCCTCCTAAATGGTGTCACCCGGTGCGGTCCACCACCCCCACCACCCCGCCCCCCTCGCTACGCCGCTGTGTTGAACCCCCCTGTCTCCCACCTATAGCTATTGTATCCGTGTTTCACATTACATCTTAAAAGTTTTGGTTTAGACATTCGTGCCTATTCATTCTGTCAGTACTTGTGTTGGCCTGTCATACCCCGGCCTGTTTCAATCAATAACTTTAGATTTATCTGACTAAAAGACGAGCATAATAAAAACGATTGTCTTGCTAAACTAAGCGGCAGTTCATTATTGGTTGCTATTTTTAAACAAAATATTCTTTGACGTGTAATAAATGCGAGATCTAGTTACATTTTCGGTTTCGAACAATCTTTGTTCCTTCGTCACGGCTACTTAAACTTTAACTTAGAGTCAGGTGTTTTTTTTTAATGTTGGATTGTAAAGTTTAACATTTAAGAGACGGGGTTTATGGCGGTTATGAAAGCTAGTTCAGAAGACAATGGTAGAAAGACAATGGTGGTGTTTGAGAGAAAGACAATGGTGGTATTTGAGAGAAAGACAATGGTGGTATTTGAGAGAAAGACAAGACAATGGTGGTATTTGAGAGAAAGACAATGGTGGTATTTGAGAGAAAGACAATGGTGGTATTTGAGAGAAAGACAATGGTGGTATTTGAGAGAAAGACATGGTGGTATTTGAGAGAAAGACAATGGTGGTATTTGAGAGAAAGACAATGGTGGTATTTGAGAGAAAGACAATGGTGGTATTTTAGAGAAAGACAATGGTGGTATTTGAGAGAAAGACAATGGTGGTATTTGAGAGAAAGACAATGGTGGTGTTTGAGAGAAAGACAATGGTGGTATTTGAGAGAAAGACAATGGTGGTATTTGAGAGAAAGACAATGGTGGTATTTGAGAGAAAGACAATGGTGGTATTTGAGAGAAAGACAATGGTGGTATTTAAAAGAAAGACGATGTTGGTATTTGAGAGAAAGACAATGGTGGTATTTAAAAGAAATACAATGGTGGTATTTGAGAGAAGACAATGGTGGTATTTTATATATCAACGGCCGCTATTAAGTCAAACTTGACACAAAGATGAATTGTAACCCTGTCAACAGTGATAATGGAAGGATTCTCGTCAACTCATTGATGTCCAATATTAGCCGTTACATTAAGGGATAAGCTCAGAATTTTTTTTTAATTTTTTTTTTTTTTTGAGTTTTTACAATTTGAGATCTAAAGCCTTTTGAATACTTTTGCCATGTTTGGCAGATGGAAGTAAGTACTAAACATAAAAATAAGTTAAAAACTATTTTGGTTGTCAGGAAAACCAGAAAAACTTCACCATTTTGATTTGTGTTGGTTCTTTTAGAAACGCTGAGACTTTTATTTATACACTTATAGCACTTTTGGTGATTTTTGTATGCGCATGCTCAGAGGCGTAGCGACCCTTCCCGGCGCCCGGGGACAAACTTTCAATTTGGCGTCCCCCTCGGGAGCAAATTTTCAATTTGCACACCCCCCCCCCCCCTCAATCTTCCGATTTGCAAATTTTCGATTTGCACCCCCCCCCCCCCTTCAAACTTCAAAAATACATCTAAAATGACATTTTAATTTGTTTTTACAACTCATTTTGGCGCCCCCTAAGGTCGGCGCCGGGGAAATATCCCCCCTTCGCTACGCCTCTGCGCATGCCCCCTTTAGAAGTGCGTTACTTGTGAACGTAATGTGTATTTTCATTTTAAAATCTGACTTATAAGAACTCTCAAATGCTTTTTTAATTGTGTTCTTTGTTTGTTTTTTTTTGAAAAGATACATGGATGGCATCTGACAAATGTAAATATGTGACCGGAAACTGTCAACTCTGGGCATGCGCTTTATCAAGAGAGGTAAGCCAATCCTGTTAGTAGAATAGTGTACAGAGAAAGGTACATATAAGGTTTTCAAAAGAAAAATGACATCGAATAGTTCGGTCTGCAGCCCCACTAACCCACGGTCTGCAGCCCCACTAACCCACGGTCTGCAGCCCCACTAACCCACGGTCTGCAGCCCCACTAACCCACGGTCTGCAGCCCCACTAACTCACCCTTTTTAATAAAAAAAATATTTTACGATTGTCTTCAACCTCTGACCACCTTTAGGAAAAAATAGTGTGTACACTCGAGGGGTACACAGTGTTCACTCGCTAGCACTCTTTAAATAAAGAACTATTTTAGATAATCTTAACATTCACACGTACATCATGGAAAACATTGTATTTATTGTTTCTAAAAATAAATTCCTAACATTTTCCAGACTTTTAAAAAAGCCAGCGCAAAAACTAGTGGTTTTCCAGACTTGTAAACGTCTAACATTTACTTTTCTAGATAATTCCTAGAATTTCCACGAACGCTGACTGCGTCTTATGCAACGAGTCATTTTTTTTTTAAATATAAAACGAGAAATAAAGTAAACAGAGACCTCAGGTGCTGAGATAGACGCGAGGGAACTTGAGACGCCTAACCCTACACCACCGCAGCTCTAGCCTATTGGAAGAATTGTGTAGCAATGCATAAATTAACATAAAAGAAAGCCTACCAGAAAAAAAAAATACTTTGCGTTAAGATAATAAGCATGTACATCAGGCACGCATTCTTTATACTGGAACACATAACCCTCACGATGAGACTTGGGCCACGCCCCTGCCGACCCCGCTCTACAAGACCAACCGGCTCACAATCCCCGTGGAGTAAGTTAAAGACTTGGGCTAATGTGACAATCAAATTATCGGCTTCAACAGATGTCTTTCATTCAGCAAACCACACACGTCTGAAATACGGTCACGGTGTTATTCTGATATGTTACATGAGTCGCCAGAACAATTTATCGTTCCTTAGTCGATATATAGATTTGTCCTATGAGTAGTCACATTGATTTATGCTATGATGAAGTATTTAAGTAGAGTATATGTTTATGTTCTACTTCATTGGATGATGAGTTTACATTACAGAACATACAACTGGCGATTAGATTTCTTTCATTTTAGTAGAAGGATGGATTTATGTTCTTTAAATTTAATTGGAAGATGTGCTTCGGTTTGAAATCATTTGGCTGATGGAATTCTCGAAAATGCAAAATAAAGTTTATGTAAAACGGTGTAAGAAACGTTTTAAATGTAGTGAAAATAAAACAAATATTTCAAAATGTTTTATAATAATAAGCTTTGGTATTCAGTGAAAATAAGCAAATAGGAAAACTTGTCTTCTTTGATAAAATTATTGATCGCTTATGACATCTCTACTATATTTCAGCCACGAAATTTATTTATGCACCACATAGTTCATGAGCGATCAATTCTATTCTTAAAGAGAGCAACTTTATTTTCTATCTTTCGGTGCATTTAAATGGGTTTTTTTTTATTATAAAGGTTAATCATTTTATTTTCTATTTTTTTTTAAAGTAATTATGAATTTTAAAAATCAGTAATAGTAAGTCAATAGTTTAAAACAAAAAATAATAAGTAGACTTACTTTATTTCTCTGCGTTTCCGTTCGCTTATAATAACGTCAATTTTTTTTTTTTAAATCTCTAAATGACCATTATTTGCATCTTCTTAGTTTGAGTAGTTTGAGATCGGCTGTCCTGTTAAGGGGTGAAGTGGGGGGGGGGGGGGGGGGACGACCTTTAGTGGGAGAAAAATTAAGGTTCTCCTTAAGCACCAGAATTAAGTTATACATAGTAAAAATACACCGTTAAAATGCCTACACAACTTTACACGCTGAAGTAACTGTTTTCTAACTTGATTGTGTAACAGTAAAATAATATATATATATATATATATATATATATATATATATATAATATTATATTTAATATAATATATATATATATAATATGTTTATGTATATATATATATATGTGAAACCAACCAGCGTAACCAACAATTCACCGCCTTTATGTTATTTAATTATCTTCCAATTTATCTTTTTTTAAAAACGTATTTTATATCTGATTGCATTAAAAAGTATATATTCTTGCATTGTATTAAAAGCCCAATATCTCTGGAAAGTTAGAGCGTTGTGTTACAAGATTTGACACGAACCCACGAACAGGCAGGCATTGTGAAATATATACAGCTTACAAAAAGCGCATAATAAATCTCGTGAATTAAAAGATTAATAAAATAATATAGGAGCTTTAGGAGACCCAATAATACCCAAGACATAACTAACGTTATGTTGTTTTGAAACTGGGTTTACGGAATCAGCGTTTCGCCAAGTCAAGTTTCTTTGAAACATTCTGTTGTGTCATGGGGATTTAAAAAAAGTAAAGTTCCCTTTTTAAACCCGAGTTCACTTGTTTCTGTGAACTCGGCATGTGAAGAGATAGTGTCGTCAGCACTATGCCCAGCCGCCTTTACTTTCCCTAACGTGAGTTAGGTACCCATCAGAGTTGGGTGGACTCAGAAACTTTCTACTGACTTGAACCCGAATTCGAACCTTACGGTTTAGCAGTCCAGCTCTCTACTGCTAGACCACTCCGTCCCCTGTCATGGGGATATGTGAGGCTCAATTTTGTTGAAAGAGTGTGTAGTGTCATATTCAGTTGTGGTGTGTAGAGTTCAGTTGTGTTGTGTCAGGCTCAGTGGCGTAGCGAGGTCGGGTGTCACCCGGTGCGGCACTTAATGGTGTCACCCCCAGAGGCGTAGCGAACCTTCCCGGGGACAAATTTTCGATTTGCACCCCCCCCCCTTCCCTCAAACTTTCAATTTGTACTCCCCTCAAGTTTTTCTCTATATATTTTGCTATTTTTTGCCTTGGTGTCACCCCCCTAAATGGTGTCACCCGGTGCGGTCCGCACTCCCCGCTCCCCCCTCGCTACGCCTCTGGTCAGGCTGTTGTGTTAAACCCTGACGTAGTTCCCGATTGTCAGGTTCCGTTTTGCTTCTCCTCGACAGGCTGCAAGAGAAAAATTACCGGCCTGGTCGGTGCCTTGGTCTGCCTGTGCACGCTGTGGTGTCTGAAACTCTTCGACGTCAGCAAGTTCCTCGGCAAACGGCGCTGCGAAGATGTCTTGACGCGATTTGAGCTACCGACTCGGCCAGTCAACTTCCCTCATCCCGTCAGGCTGAGGAACATCTCCGCGGCCTACAAGCGTGGTTGGGTTGGGTTCCGTGGCCTGGTCGGGTGTGACTGCACCCTCGCCTTCAACGCGTCGACCGTGAAAAACAGTTTGTTTCCTCAGAAGGTGGATCGGATATTCCCGCTCCAGTACATTGAAGAGAGCAACGACTGCGCGGAGTTACGAGACAAGTATGGTTTTCTACGACATCCGCCAGCGCTGGAGGAGGAACTCAAGTTTCCCATCGCGTTCGTCATTCTCTTTTACAAGGACCTTGACCAGGTTTGTTAAGATTTTTTTAATTGAACACGTTTTGTTTGTGTTGTTTTTTTTTCTTGCTGTTTTTCTTTCTTTTTTTTCTTTTTTTTTTTTTTCGAAAATTGTAAAAATATTTTGACTTTTTTTTTCTTAAATAAAAATGTCTAACTTTTGTAACCGGACCAAAAGCAACTCCATGAATATGGTGGAACAATGTCAATAGCCTGTTTTACGAAAAGTAGGCCTATTCTTTTAAAATATGTCAGTAGGTATCTAAATTATAAAAGATCCTCTGCCATCAGCCTCTCCACCCCCACCCCCACCCCAAAGTTGCTCTCCACACTACCGATCCCGATGCTGGCACCTCCCCCTCCTATGCTTGCCTTTGACGACCGTATACTCTTGAAATAAGCCGTTGGAAAAATATTTTCTACTTCCTCAACACACATCCGTATCTACCAACACCTATGCGATGCAAATCTGATTGAATCCATTGTAATTATAAAATAAGTGTAACGAGAGAAAAATCCGAGTCATAATGCTTAAAAAAGATTTATTTTTAATGAGATAAATATTTAAATTTGTTATGGACCTTCTTCTAATTATGCTAATAAAGTGTGCTAAACGTGAATACATAAGGTGAAAGAGCTAAGATTTCTGTTCCCGATATTATATAATTATGTTTGAATATATATTTTTAAAAAAAAAATATGTATATATATATATATATATATATATATATATATATATATATATATATATATATATATATATATATATATATATATATATATATATACGTGTATGTGTGTATGTGTAGGTTGCCATCATATATTATCTTGATTTTTATTTAAAGTCTTACTATTACTAAATTGTGCGGTTATTTCAAGCATTGTTCAATCACGCATAGCATACATTAATTGAACATTAATTCCCTTTGGCAAATAATTGAACATTAATTTCCTTTGTGAAAAAATTTACTGCGTTAATCCATCCCTAAAAGATTAAGTTATGAGAAGGCCATTTAAAACAAGCTGTCACTTATCAAGCTAAAAAACACATTTTGTAGACCTGTCACGCGTTCAATCAATACAATAAGGTGAGTACACAACAAAAGGAAGAAGCATTTATTGAGTAGTGTACAGATGTACCTGACATCCTAAATATACTGCTTTAATATACTTATTACATTATTAATGCTTTACGCAATACCTCCACAACGCCTAAATCAGGATAGTATATTTTTACTTTATCGTATACGATCCATAGAGGATGTATTATAATTGTTCAAAAAAATTAAAATCGACATTTTCATAAATCACGTTTTACACCTCTCTGAGTTAGAAAAAACTTAGTTTTTCAATTTTTCCTTACGTCTGTGTTGCTGTAACATATATCGAAATTGTAAACAAAAATTATTAAAAATAAATTTAAAAAAAATTTACTTAAGTTAAATTCGTGTTTTAAATTTTAACCTGTTATCTTTATTTAAACACATGTAAGTGAGAAAAAAACATCAGTTTTTCAATCTGAGTAGCTTTATTTAAGGCAGAGTTGTGTTCGATACAGGCAGAAAGAAAAAAAAATGGCATACAGTAACATTAACACCACATACACAAATATGGGGTATGTGCTAAACTAATGTCCGATAATGCCACAAGAATGGAATCTTCTTCAAAAGGGTGTTAGAATTAGAGTACAGTTAATTAACTGTTAGTTAACCAACGTGTTGGTGTCCATGCTAACCGTAACCCTATGCCTCAAGTCCTACAATAGACCTAGTCCTATTTCTTACCATAAAACAAAACCTGAGATTGCAAAACTTCTAACAGCGTCACAGTCCTCTATTTAGGAAGTTTATTGACGGACATCGGTGGTGCCAAAACTCCTAAAAGTATGAAATTTTACAACACATAAGCCTGAATCGTACTCTCAACAGGTTTTGTTCCTACTCCGTGCCATCTACCGGCCCCACAACGTCTACTGTCTAAGCGTGGACACAAAGTCCAGCGTCGAGTTCTTGGAGGCGGTCAGAGCTGTGTCCAGATGTTTACCAAACGTCTTCGTGGCCAGCAAGCTGGAGAACATCGTGTACGCCGGCTTCTCCAGGCTGATGGCGGACATCCATTGTATGGAGGATCTGCTTCTCCATCCGGTGCAGTGGAGGTACGTCATCAACATGCCTGGACAGCAGTTTCCGCTCAGGTGAGACGCTATTTCGGGAAGATTTAATAAGACATGATAATAACCTGTTGCATATATATATATATATATATATATATATATATATATATATATATATATATATATATATATATATATATATGCATATATATATGCATATATATATATATATATATACATATATTGAGATGGCGTTGGCGTCAGAAACCATATTTCCCCAACAAAAAGGGAATACCAAATAAAGCAGACCAATCACCGCGCCTTGACTGGACTGCATGATGAATACCGACAGAAATGCATTCCAGATTTCTTTGCACTGCGGATTACTTGAGAACATTGAACAAGAAAAAGAGGTTGCCACAAATGCAACGACATCCTCAGCTAACATATATGCTGCCGAGGCGGAACGTCCAGACCAGTTACGTGACAATAATAGGGTACGGAGGGAACATTACCTTCAGATTGTGTCACAATAAACAAAACATGGAACACAGGTCAGCAGCTCATAGTGGCTTGCAAACTGAAGGTGCTAAGATGCTTAAAACATCAAATACAAAATTTAAACAAGCTGAAGTGGGTGATAATGTACGCATCCGTGTTCCAGATGTTGACAGAGGTCGCGGTAATCCCCGAAGCGTGATTGCAGTTGTAAAATTAGGAACAGAACATGGTGTTCTAAAACAACTGTATGCTAGAGGTGAGTTTTCAATTCTTCACGAAAAACTGCTCTTATTGCCGTCAGTTGGCACTGAGGAAAAATCACTACGAACCTTCGCATCTTCACAATCATTGACTGGGGGCCAAGGCTACACTCGCTGCAATTGCACAACTAAGTGCACAACAAATCGCTGCAAGTGTAAAAATAACACGCTGCTATGTAATTCTAAATGCCATAAAAGTTCAACTGGTCTGGGCGTTCCGCCACGGCAGTAGATGTGTTAGCTGAGGATGTCGTTTATGGCAACCTCCATTTCTTGTTCAATGTTCTCAAGATCTTCCTCAGTAACTATTTTATCGAGAGCCCATATATGGAAACTAACATGGATTTACTTTTTTTTTTCTTTTGACAGCCATCTGCTATGTCTGTCGCATGGTCTGACGGCCCTTTTGATCCATGTCGCCTTGCATATAGAATGCTATACAAACAAGAGCTAAACAATACGTTACTCTCAATGAAAACGCACCCAGAATAATGAAAATGCGATCACAACTTAGTCTAGATAGAACATTGGCCAGGACATCCCGGCCAGTGCGCGCATTGGCCGGTCAATGTACAAAATACGCTGTCAAGTTTAAGCGCTTCGGACTTTGGCCAGTACGTCCCGGCCAGTGCGCGCATTGGCCGGCCAATGTATGAAATACGATCCAAGAGAGCCGGCCAATCCGCGCTTTGGCCGCACTTCGGGCTTTGACCGTAACATATATATATATATATATATATATATATATATATATATATATATATATATATATATATATATATATATATATATATATATATATATATATATATATTGTGTTCTTTTTTATGTATTCATAAATTATAAACAAAAACGAATAAATACACATACACACATTTATGTGTGTATTTCTATATCTAGTGGAATCAGGGTCTTGTGACCCACTCTCCTCCATAATACCCATGCCCATGCTATGTACATATATCTTTTTCAATACATACCTGTGGCTGGGAAAGGGGGGTGATATTGCAGTTTGCCCCCCCCCCCCCCCCGTAACTAAGTCACGGCGCACTGTGTAATACCTCTCAACTTCTTGCGCAACTTTTTACTAATAGTAACCAAGCTCTTGAGGCTAGGTACAGCCACCATTAAAAATAAAATAGTTCGTCTACGCTAATTCCCACAAATCCTTTTCTTTTTAACCATCGATTTTTTATTTCAAATTAAGACTTTAAAAATAAAAAAAAATAAAAACCGTTTTAATCCCTTAGGCCACGCAGGCGCCATTGTTCGATTTCATGCTTGGTTTCTTTTCCTTATTGCTTTCTTGTGTTTTGTCCTCTATGTCACAATACTGGTAACTATATATAGACATGGTTTAACCCTATACCGACTGAATCCGTTATACGTTTCCGTTTTCTGACTAAACAAAACAAACGACGGGATACCACCTTTTAGAAACCTTGCTGGATTGAACACTAGTGTTTTGTGTTACGTCAATCATAAAATGGTGTTTCTTTCAGACATTTTTCACGGGGGGGGGGGGGGGCGGGGGGGGGCGAACACTTGACATTTTTGGTATGGCAAACCTAAATTTCATGGGCGAAATGGACACTAGTTATATGTTTTATTTTTTCTGTTTCGTGCGGGTTGGACGTGCATCTTTGAGGGGGGGGGGGGGGGGGGGGGGAGATATGCCGAAAAGAAACACTGCCATAAAAACAGCTGAACAGAAATAGTTATTGCTCAAGATTTTTAAACTAATGTATCACAAGAACAATAAATTATTTATTGTTTAAAGATTTAAACCCAATTTATCACAAGAACAATGAGATATTTATTGCTCAAGATTTTTTAAACCAATTTATCACAAGAACAATGAAGTATTCATTATTTAAAGATATAAAACATATTTATAATCAGAACCATGAAATATATTAATTTTTAAAATTTTAAAACTAATTTATCACCGGAAAAAAATCTGAAATTTTTATTGTTAGAGATTTAAAACAAATTTATCCACAGAACAATAAAATATTTTTTTATGTGAACTAATTTATCATCAGAACAATGAAATATTTATTTAAAATTTGAACTACTTTATCACCAGAACTATAAATATTTCTTTAAAATGTTACCTAATTTATGACCAGATCAAACCTGGAGCTGGTGGAAATATTGAAGATCTACAACGGGGCCAATGACGTCGAGGGTTTGGTTGGACACCGGATGTTGGCCGCGAGATACCAGTTCAAACATATCTATGTCAAGGACGAAACCACAGGTGGGTTGTTTAAGGGAGGTAACTGTCCTTTTTAATAACGTCGACAGTGTTTTTTCCAGGCATCTTCCCCCCCCCCCCGAACGAAATGGACTTTATATATATATAATATATACTTTTACCTGTGTCGTGCCCCCCCCCCCCCAATCCTCCGAAAAATTTAGTACGCCCCCTGAAAATGTCAAATGCCCCCCCCCCCCCCGAAGAAAAAAGTCTTAAAGAAACACTGAGAGAGAGGGGGGTGAGAGGAAAAGGTTTATTTCTTTACCTTCACCTCAAGTCGTTACAACAATAAGTCTTCTGCTTCGACAAGATTGTGAATGCGGACTGGCTGTGTCGTATTTCCGTATAGTTAAACAAAACAGCTTTTTTATAAATAGCATTCAAACTATTTCTTATTTATATGGTCAAATTTCTCATTTTAATTAAACCGTATTTGTTATTAAAATATTTTTTCACTGTAATTTTTAGAAAATAAATTAATAAAATTTACATTTTTTTTTCTAAAATTGTACCATAATTTCAAGGTGAAAAAAACAACGAAAAGCTACTTCATTCCTTCAATGTACTTTGTAGGTGAGGAAAAACTAGTCAAGACGGGCGAAAAGAACGCGCCACCCCCGCATCAACTGGAGATCGTCAAAGGTAGCGCGTACGGCACGTTTGCCCGGGAGTTCGTCAACTTTGTCGTGAGGGACACGGTGGCCAGGGACTTCCTGGCCTGGTGCAAGACCATCTCCAGCCCAGATGAATACTTCTGGGCCACCCTACACCACAGTCATCGGCCAGACATCCCCGGCCACTACACGGGTGAGGGTTTGGCCGGTGCTGGTCAATGTTGGTCAATGTTGGTCTGTGGTCGTTAGAATAACCACTGTGGTCAGTTTTGGTCAGTGTTGATCAGTGATGGTTAGTGTTGGTTAGTGTTGGTTATTGTTGGTCAGAGTTGGTTTGTGTTTGTTAGTGTTGGTCAGTGTTGGTTAGTGTTGATCAGTGATGGTTAGTGTTGGTTATTGTTGGTCAGTGTTGGTTAGTGTTGGTCAGTGTTGGTCATTGTTTGTTTGTGTTGGTCAGTGTTGGTTAGTGTTGGTCAGTGTTGGTCAGTATTTGTTAGTGTTGGTCAGTGTTGGTCAGTGTTGGTTAGTGTTGGTCAGTGTTGATACCGGCGAGTAAGTGTTGGTCATTATTGGTACAAACGTGCAATATCTGAAGTTTAAGGGTAATTTTTTTTTGTCTTTGAAAAATCGTATCACAATATTCTCAAATATCTACCTATCTTCTGTACTCAATACGACCCACCATTATTTTATCTGTTTGAATTAACATTCCAGTTTATCCGCTTAACTTTCTATTTCCTATGATTATCTTGTTATAAAATTGATTAGTTCCGCTTCAGTGCGGTTCCTGTTTCTATTTTTTTAAATATCTTCTTTGTCCTGCCAGGCCAACCTGACAAAAAGCCCTGGCTAACCACGTACGCCTCCTGGGGCGGGAGGGACCCCTGCGCCACCATCCACACCCGGGGCGTGTGCATCTTCAGCCCGGAGGACCTGCCGGGCTTGGTCCTGAGACCCGAGCTGTTCGCCAACAAATTCTACATCACCCACTACCCGGCCGCGCTACACTGCTTAGACGAACTTCTCTTCAACTTGACCTTTGCTCGCGCGGTGCGGGACTTGTCTACTTACCGGCAACTGCCATTTGTTATCCAAACGCAACCTACGAACAAAACTAATTCATAAAAAATATTTTGTTTATCTTGTTTTATTTAAAACTTGCTTCGCTTCCATGTTGAACAAAAAGCCAACCAGCTATAATTGTTTATAGAACGGCGTATACATAATATGTTGTTGAAGCCAGAAACGATTTTAAAGCTAGTTTACAATTAGATTAAACGCCCCGTAATATATGGATAATTTTTTACACTGAATTTTAGCTGTTAATTCTAATTTTAAAATTTATTTTTGTAATAAAATAGATTTTAACTAATTTTAAATAATCCTAATTGATATTTGATAAAAAATATATTTAAACAAAAAGAAAATTGCAATTCAGGTTGGTGGGGGGGGGGGGGGGGGTTCGTTTTAGAGACGGATAACTTAATATGACGTTGTATGACGTTGAGGGTGTTAAATTTCGGTGAATGACGTAACATCAATTATCATGGAAGACCCTCTATGGATAGTTGTTTATATTAGCTATAATTTATTTATATTTGTTTCAATGTGTTAATCGCTTTAGCAGTGTTGTTTACAACGAGATTAGCGTAGTATTATAATGAGAGTAACGTAACAATAGTATCATAACAACGAGAGTAACTTGTCAGTAGTGTTACAACCACAGTAACTACACAACAGTAGTGTTACAACCACAGTAACTTCACAATAGTAGCGTTACAACGAGAGTAACTGAACAATAGTATCATAACAATGGTAAGACAACGAAAGTAATTTTAAAAATAACACATCAAAAATTAACCTAAGAAGTAGACTAGCAAAAAGAGAACGTAACTACCAACACACCAACAATAACACAACACGATAACAACGTTAAAAATAAATACTTTGTGTTGATCGTCTTCTTAAAGTTAATTTTTAAAGTTCAATACCAAACCAATAACGAATGTACGTTATCGGCGAAGTGAGAGGTGTAGGCTTTCAACAGAATGTGTGCGTTTGCCAGCAAAGTACGAAATATCTAGAGTGATTTTTTATCACACAATTTGTCTAGTCCTTTTGTAAAATGACGAGGCTCTCATAAAATATGAAACATTGATAGTAGTGATAGGTTTAATACAGCCATGTGTAAAAAATGAATAAAGAAATACATAATGAACTATAACAAATGTTGTATAACTAAACAAATTTACTAAATTTACACTAAATTTACCCTGAACCTAATCAGAACTGGCAATGTTAGCGTTAGGGCCAAAGTTAGGTTTATGGTTAGGTTTAGTTTAAAATTTCAAAGCTTGAATGAGAATTTCCCCTCAGCTTTACTGCGAACACTTGATAAGCGTGTTACCTTGGTTTCTCTATAGATGGGAATCTAGTTAGTAGTGGTAGTGCTAACAAAGATTTGCCTGTACTTGATGTCTTGGAAAGCGTTAACCCAATACTAAGTCTCATAATGCGAAACTTTCTGGAAAGAGTAATTGTATTCTATACTTTGTCAGGTCCCCTGTTTTTCACTCTTTGAAATGCCTAGGAAAAGTACGAAACACGATTTATTTAGTACTTTCCCAGCACATTTTGAGCATTCTATAGAGTGTTTAGGCTCTCGAAAGAATGGCGTATTTTGCATTGTACCAGTAACATAATATGTAATGATACTGACGAGAAAATTTGCTGCTGATAAAAGCATGTTTTTTTTAATTAATTGTATTTGTTAATGTTGTATGTAACATTATAATGTAGCTGCAATATGAGCATATAATCTAAATAATCATTTTTTTAAATTGTTATTTAATGAAAGCAATACGTGGTTTGTGTTTTGCGTGGTCAGTTAGCCAAAAGAATAGGCAGCTTCATACTAACCCACAACCCTGTTTGTTTATTGTTTGCCAAAATATTGTTTTAAAAACTATGTAGTAGCTTAAACTACGGATGAATCCTCGGCTCTCGTGAAGTACGAGGGAGGGTGCAAAATAGAAGTAATAGCCAAATATTTACATGATTTTCTGTATTGCTTTTGCAACATGCTTTTTAAAAAATTCATTGTTGTAAACTGTTTTAAAATGTTATTTAATATACATTTAATTGAAAATCAATTTGGCGGGCTGTTGTGCGGGATTGATTTTTTTCCTTTGGTTTAGCGCTGGGATATTGGAAATAATCGAGGCAATTGTTCAATTAGTTGTTTTTGTTTTTCTAAACTAGTTAGTGTGTTTTCTGAGTAAAATTCTTCTCCCTTATAAAAAAAAAATCTGCATATATTTTGATGTGGAAGTCCCCATAAATTGCATAATGTCGACCTCCGACCTATGATCTAGGGCTGATGAATGAGTAGATTTGGCCTTGCAGCAAAAACAGAAAGTACTACCTCCCTTCATTAGCATTCCAAACTGGCCGTTCAGATTTTTTTTAAACTAACTCATCTGGCCAGATTATGGGGCAGTGTCTAACCAGATTTATATATAAATTTATTCATAGATGGGTTTTGTTCAGGTTATTTTAAAAAATATAAATATTAAATGCTTGTTGATGATTTTTATAAATGTCAATTCATTTAGTTTATAGCCTCATTTTAAGTCGCCTGTATGTATTCATATGTTTATGGGCCTGCCAAAGTGGTGAGCATGGAAATCACAAGTTCCTTTTTAAAAAATGGCTCATTGTCTCTGAATATCTCCAGAATTTATTTCTAGGCTTTAATTGGGAACAGTCTTAAGTGATCTGTGACTCTCTCATGAAATTACATCTTTCAGTAAAAGTATTTCTAAATTTTATGTCTCTAAAAATAGTACCTTTGAAAGATTTTTTTTCGAGTTGGCTTCCCTCGTCATTTCCGCTATTAACTCCAGGGTTTCTTTCAGACATTGAAACTAGGGGGTTGCGCTTGTATTTTGTGGAGGGGAGAGCCAGGATAATGTAGATATGCTTTATATGAAATGTTTTTTTTTAATTTCGTTCGAGTTCGAGTGAGGGGCTTAAGACTTGCTTCCTCCCCCCCCCCCCCACTGAAGAGATGCTTGAAAGAATCTCTGGTTATAACTCGTCAGTTGTAGGGTGGGGGGGGGGGGGGGGGGGCTTCTGATAAGGTCAGCCCTGTCTTTGTTGTTTTTTACATGTGGAGCTAAATGTTTTTACTTTCTCGTATATACAAAGTATAGAGAAAGTCTTGTAATCGTGCAAAAAAAAATCGAGATTTTTACAAATCTCGTTTTGTAGGGTATTCCTGGTTGATGTGTAACATTACATGTGCTTCAATGCTAAATTAAAAACAAATGTTGAACATGCGGCTCCTTGCTGTTTGTTATTGTTGATGTTTTCTTGTCTTTCGCACAAATTAAAAATTATAAAACACTTAATATTTCTTAAGAGAAACATAATATATGAATTACAGGATTATAAATTGCTTCGTAAGTTCTACTTTTCAACAATCGTTTAAGAATTATTATGTTATTCAGTGAGAATTGTTATTGTTAAAGTTTTAATAGTGTGTATAGCTACGACTGCTACAGTAAGCAGATCTGTGATATTGGACTCATTAGCTAATTAAAGCCTGGGGGTGTCTCCATACCGGATGTGATAACAATGTCTAGAGTATCCATCAAATTCCTAAAGATCGATAATGAAACACACGGCCAACAAATAATCAAATAATATCGGGGAGATACAGGACAAAATATTTAGACGAAAAATAACTATTTTTAAATTCTGAAAAAAATAGTATCGAAACTACATTCAACTTTTTTTCTTTTTTGTTTTGTTAGTTGTTTTGTTTTTTTTACCAGAAATTATAAGCTACTTCTCTTAATGATCCGAATTACATTTTCATTTGATTTGTCCTTGTTTTCCGGCAACGATTTTTCAACAACCATTTGATGTAATTTATTCGTTACCAGCACAGGTCGTTTGTCTTATGTTGAGCAGAAGCTTGCCTGTTGTCTTGAAACCAGTGTATCATCGTCTAATCAATCATCCTTGTTACTGTCGCTTGTTATTGAAACGAAGGGTTAGATTCGGTAACGATGTCTCATTGGCTTTAAAGTTTAAAGATTCGTCCCATCTCCACACCCTCTTCGACTATTCGGCTGACTTTTTGACGAAAGGAAGGGCCCGGTAATAATCCATGTCTACTGTCGTCCCGTGAAACGTCCGGTTGACCAGCCACTCGTCCAGGCAGTGAAGGGCGGCCGGATATGACGTAATGTACAGCTTGTTGACGTAGAGCTCCATCCGGTCTCGCAACCGCGGCAGGTCGGCCGGACTGAAGATACAGATGTGCCTGACGAAGAAGTTTTGGCACGGGTCTAGGTAGCGCCAGGCCGTGTAGGAACTCAGGTACGGTTTGTTCGCCTTGGGTCCCGAGGCTGACGGCAGAAAAGTAGGCATAATTCAGTGGCCTAGGCAGGCAGTGAGCATGGGGGAGAGGGTAAAAAAAATGTTCCTCATTATATATATATATATATATATATATATATATATATATATATATATATATATATATATATATATATATATATATATATATATATATATATATATATATATATATATATATATATATATATATATATATATATATATATATGTCACTGGCATAACTAATACAGTTCAACTAAAATCAATCAGTTATTATTTTCCCAATGTCTCGGGCACGCACGGGAAAAGATGACGATAATTTTGGGAGGGCAGTGTTTCTTTCAGACACTTTTCTCTTTGGGAGGGTGACTGGAAACGTACCCCCCCCCCCCCCCCCCCAAAAAAAAATAGGCGATTCCTGAAAGAAGCTCCGGAGAAGGGACACTTAAAAATAGTTTTTCATTAAATTCATTTTCTACCTATATTTATTTAAAAAATATTTTTAGAGTACTATAATTGTTCCGTGGTTTATATGTGTTTATGTGTGTCTGTGAGGGGGAAGGGCATGGCAAGAAATATTTTATATTATGTAATTGAAAATGTGCGGCCTAATGAATGTTTTTCCATTATATGGGGTTGTTTGTGTGTCTGTAAAACTGCACTTTTCCTGACCGGTCTGTAGTCTATTCAATTAAGAATGACCTACTGAGCTCTGTTTTATTTTTTGCTATGGATTAAATAGGGACTTACTGACCTAAGAATAACCTTTACATAAGTCATAACTAATAGAACTCTGTGTGATATTTAGATTTTTAAAAATCCATAGTGACTTAATGACCTAAATGCAGTAAATCATGACTTCAGAATGACTTCTCAATCTGAAATGAAACATGACCTAATTACCCCAGACTGGCCTTTTAATGTGAATGTGAAGCTAATCATGACTTACTGACCTCAGAATGACCTTTAAATATGAATAGAATCATCACCTACTAACATAAGAATGACCTTTGAATGAGAACTGTATGGTCACCTACTGACCTCAGAATGACCTTAAAATATGAATAGAATCATGACCTACTAACATAAGAATGACCTTTGAATGGGAACTGACCTCATTTACGACCTTTAAATCTCAAGTGTTACATGACCTACCGACCTTTGTATCCACCAGGAACCTCCATCAGAGTTGTGTGTTGTAGCGTGGACCAGAAGTACTCGTCCGGGCTGTAGATTGGCTTGACCCAGTCCAGCAGGTCTTTGGCCACCTGGCTGGTCAGCGCGAAGTGGATAAACTTTCGGGAGAACGTTCCGTACGTGCTGCCCTTGACCACCTCGAGCCCGTGGGGTGGCTTGCCCGCGGTCTCGTTCTTTAGGTACAGACGTATTCGTCCTGAGGGGGACATTTCGACACTCCCGTATTGTAAAGTTACAGAGGAAACAAAAAGAGATGTTTCTTCAGTACGAAACATGATTTCTATTGTACTATTTCGGAGTATTTCCCGTTTTATTGTAGATCAAAAACTTTTACTAGGACTCAAACCTAGCCAATAAATTAGCATCTGAATCTGTTTCTTACCCATATATATGTGTGTGTGTGTGTGTGTGCGCGTGCGTGCGTGCGTATATATATATATATATATATATATATATATATATATATATATATATATATGCTAGCTGATGTGCCCGTTTTGCTCCCTGGTAGGAAACAGAACTTTTATTTTATACTAGAATACCCGTCATCCGTTGGATAACTGTGGGTTTCGGGGGTCATCCATCAAAAAACATCACGTCTGTCACTCAGAGGCATAGCGACCCTTCCCGGCGCCCGGGGACAAAGTTTTCGATTTGAACCCCCCCCTCAAACTTTTGATGTGCACCCCCCCCCCCCCCACTCAAACTTTCGATTTGAACCCCCCTCAACCTATCAATTTATTTTTCCAAACCATTTTGGCGCCCCAACATATGCCCCCCCCCTTCCCCCTCCCCACCCCCCGCCTCCCCTTCCCCCCCCCCCCCACCCCCCGCCTCCCCTCCCCTACCGTCCCCCCCCCCCTCCTCGGTACGCTACTGCAGTGTCACTTATCGTCACAAAAAACAGACCCCACATTCAAATATATGTTTTTTATCTTTTAAAAACACCGAAAACACCGATTTCGGACTATCCCTTCATAAACTGACGTCACAGGTGACCTACTCAACTCTACTTCACCTGCCCAGTGTCCTGCCAAGTCTCAGACAACATGTTTTTATCGTTTAAAAAACAATTCCAGCCGAGCATGTATCTGACCACACTATCCTTTCATATGCTTAGGACAAAGAAACAGATGAACTCTACTTCACCTGCCCTGTATCTTGCCAAGTTCAGATAGGCAACGTTATCATTCACATCTAAAAAAAAAAAATTGAAAAAAAAAATTTCATTGACATATTGGTCTAGAACCCGTGCCTCCTGCGTGAGAGCTGACTACGCTACCATTTTAGCTATTTACTCGTGACGTCACAAGTGAATTTTTATACTATACTATGTATCTCCTTATGCAACTTGATTTACGGCGTATAGATTCTAGATCTAGATCTAAAAATAAGTCTAGTAGTACTAACTTTCAAATTAAATTTTATCTTAAATAAGCCAAACAAAGATTTATATAAAATAATTAAGGCCTGAAATAGATTCTAGATGTAGAATTTACATTAAGTCTAGATCTAGAATTTACATAGAAACCTAGTGACCTACATCTAGGCTAGATCTAGATCTAGGCTAGATTCATAAATTTCCTTCGATAGCTGATCTTTAGATCTAGAGAAATTTATTGTAAAACTAAATGAAAAAGACAGTTGAACATTGATATAAGTGTTGGAACGTAATAAATACAGAAAACGGACGTATTGTTAAAGTTATGACCGACAGAAAATTAGATTTAGAACGCGTTAAACTTGTGAATGGGAACACAATTTTCTTCGATAGACGCCGCCATTTTATTGTACTAAAGAGTAAACAAAAACCTGTGACGTCACGGTCCCGCCGAGTCTAGTGGCTTTTCAAATATTTTTTTAAAAAATGGGTTAATCTGCATATGAATAAATCAATTAATTAATTAACGTCTTTAAATAAATTTGTGATCAACAGTCTGTCTGCATTAAAAAATTATTCTCTACCTGCATACCATTTTACAGCTTTCCAGATAGAGTCGAACATATCACAATTTTCGATCAGGCAAACAAATAAATATTCAAACATGTAAACAAAGTTGAGTTTTAGTAGTATATAGATTATATTATTTATTAAAAATATGCACTTAGACATGTTATTTGTTACAAAGTAAATTGTAAAAAAATAAAAACTCGTTAAAAACAAAACGTCTGTACAGAACCAAAAGTGAACTTAATTGTACTAGTTACCCGTTTTTGCCATCCGAAGGTATCGGTATTTCCATTTATATCTCTCTGGGTACCTGTCATTGTTGATCATGTCTGTAGATTCCACTTCGTTAGAGCCATTATATATTTTCAAAATACGAACGATTTCTAAGTTTGTTCTACAATGAGGGGAAAGCAATGGAAATACTTTTGTTTGTTTTATTTACATACATTGACTAGCGATGGTTGCCGAGAGGGATAATCATCTTTTCCCTATTGTGCCCAAGACACATGGGGCCGCTACAGAAAGCCATCCTGTTTTGGTTTCTATAGCGGTTTTTTAAACGAAATAAGGTCGCTGTCATTATGTTCAACCCCCAACCTGGAGGACCTGCTAGCTTTTGCCTGACCCCTACCCACGCAGATCTTCTCAGCTTGGTTGAACCTGCCAGGAGTTTACATTCCCGAGGGTATGGACCTGGGGGTCGTCAGGGTAAACAAGTTGCTCTAGCACCGGCTGGCACTGACAGTGATAGCCGTACTAAATCCCTGTGAGTTAGCGTGCTAGGTTAGTTCTTTGGTGATAAAAGCTGTTCGATTGGGACGCAGTAAGGGGAATATTTACTTTTTATTTAATGATTTAAATGTCGATGAGTAGTAGCGTCACTAAGTCGGGTGTAACCCGGTGCTGTAATTCTGGGTGTCCCCCCGCCCCTTCCAACAATTTGGCATTTTGGTATTGGTGTTACTCCTTTCCGTTAAACAGTTTATTAATTTTTAACTTGATCAAACATTGGTTTTTCCAATATTTTTTTCAAGCTGGTGTCACCCCCTAAATGGTGTCACCCCCTAAATGGTGTCACCCCCTAAATGGTGTCACAAGGTGCGGGCCATACCATCCAACCCGCCTTCTGGTGCCACTACCTATTATCATGTCTTATTAAATCTTCCCGAAATACCGTCTCACCTGAGCGGAAACTGCTGTCCAGGCATGTTGATGACGTACCTCCACTGCACCGGATGTAGAAGCAGATCCTCCATACAATGGATGTCCGCCATCAGCCTGGAGAAGCCGGCGTACACGATGTTCTCCAGCTTGCTGGCCACGAAGACGTTTGGTAAACATCTGGACACAGCTCTGACCGCCTCCAAGAACTCGACGCTGGACTTTGTGTCCACGCTTAAACAGTAGACGTTGTGGGGCCGGTAGATGGCACGGAGCAGGAGCATCACCTTTAAACACAGAGAAGATCTAAGTATGGGACTTTCAATCTAATATTCACTGATTTAATTTTCTTTAAAGAAAAATATAATTAATACAAGCAACAATTAAACTAATTAAAGCCAGTGGGGCGTCTCTAATATAAGAAAAAAAAAAGATTCCCTATTTTTCGGACAGGCGTGTATGCCCGTCTATTATTTTAAGATGACTTCTCTCCCGAACTATCATGTCAGTAACCATATTCTAAACCAGGGGTCTCCAAACTACGGCCCGCGGGCCGGATGCGGCCCGCGAAGTCATTTTATCCGGCCCGCGACGATCTTTTTGTCCACTGAATAAATGTTGTTAGAGGTGGCTGAGGAACTTAGCACAGAAAATTCAAAACAATTTGAAAATGTAGCTTTGGGTGCAAATACAATTACTCGCCGTGTTGCAGACATTGGTGAAAACATTGTGATTCAACTAGTGAAAAATGCAACCAAGTTTCGCCATTTTTCAATTGCAATGGATGAGTCGCTGGGCAGCTGTGAGCTGTTCCATCTCTCAACTGCTTGTGTTCATTAGAGGTGTGGATGAAGACATGGACATAACACAAGAGATGGCTTCCCTACATATAATGTAAGACACTGTTACCGAAGAGGATATATACAGTTCAGAGACAAACACAAAATCGCAAGATTTACCATATTTCACATCAGTAAGATTGCTAATTTTGCGAGAAAATTCTACGAAAAGAAATAGGTGACTTCCTGATAGTAAAGGCAAGTCACAGCCATTATTGTCTGATGAAGAGGGGATATAGAAATTGGCCTCTGCTAAAGACATAACTAGTCTGAGTCATATAAATTTTCTGAATCTAAAACGGCAAGAGAGTGAGATCTAGTTTCTGATCTATACACCCACCTAAAGACGTTTAGATACAAACCTGTCATGTTTTTGGAACAAATACAGACCAACAATTTGACGCACTTTCAGCAGTGCAAGGTCTTTACGGCTGAAGCAACCACTGAGTTCCACGCGTCATTTACATACGAGATCATTAAAGACCTCCAGATGCAGTTTCAGTAGAAATTTTCTGACTTGGATTCAAAGGCAGAAGAAGTGAGACTGTTTCAAAACCCATTTAAAGCAAATGTGGCCAGTTGCAAAGACGAACTGCAGCTGGATGTCATTGAATTGCAAGAAAATGACTTCCTTCAAAGAAGGGCGGATGGGTTTTCATACGTTTTTGCACAATGAAGACTTTCCTAATATTAAAACTTTTGCATCAAAGTACCTTTCAAATTTTCGAACAACATACGTGTGTGAACAAGCATTTTCAAGAATGAAATACGTGAATAACAATTCGAGACACTTGAAATGTGTATATATATTTCTATATAAAATATATTTCGTAGGGGGGGGGAGGGGCGTTAGGCGTTCTTCGGGGGGGGGGGGGGGGCGCCACGACCCTGAAGAGATGCCCAGAAGAAATTCTGGCCCCCGAACTGATTAGTGATAGTTAATGCGGCCCTCGGGCTGAAAAGTTTGGAGACCCCTGTTCTAAACGATGCATGTTGTATGTTCTTAGGGACGATCCATAATCAACTTCACGCTTTTGTTTACTATCCCCCCCCCTGCCCGTCCATCGTCACACACGAGTTTCTTCCAAGCGTCTCTTCGGGGTGGGGGGGGGGGGTACTCCGCCCAGTGCTTTTGAATTTTTTTTTAAATTAATAGCTTTCGTACAATGTTAACTAATTATGGAGTTTGCAAGGTAAAATCGATGCAATCTTTATGGTAGGAAAAAAAATACAGTGAATCATTGACGTTCTCTATCAGTTGCATATTTTTATATCTTATCTTTCAGTTATATCATTGTTATATTTTATCAGTTACATCATTGTTATATCGTATCTGTTCATAAAAGTTGTGTGAACTCTTTTAAGGACGCCCCCTTATAAAAAATGTATCTATACGACCTTGTTTTGAAGACTACTTAGATCAACGCAAGAGATTTTACATTAACATATATTATTAGTCTCATTTTTAAAATATAACCCCCCCCCCCCCCCCCCACACACACACACAGCTTCCTATAAGTCCAGCTTACTTCTTTTCATATATGATGATTTAAACTTTAGTTAATATCCCTCTAGAGGCGTAGCAAGGAGCGGGTGGGGCAGTTGCCCAGGGCGCCTAGCCAATGGGGGGGGGGGGGCGACAAACATTGTAGATAATAAAATAAAAAGCTCACGGCTTGATTATATTCAGTCGAAGTAAAAAAAAATATAGACAGCTACATGGCATTATGGACTTAGTTAATTGTTGTCTACATCAATTCTACACCAGTCGAAGTAAAGAATATAGACAGCTAGGCCTACATGGCATTATGGACTTAGTTAATTGTTGTCTAAATCAATTCTACACCAGTCGAAGTAAAGAATATAGACAGCTACATGGCATTATGGACTTAGTTAATTGTTTTCTACATCAATTCTACACCAAAATAAAAAGGGAGAAAGACTGGAAGAAACGCCCCGAACTTTCCTAATGAGTGGTGGGGGCGCATTTTCACCAAGGCATAATTTGGGGAGGGAGCGCACAACTGATAGTTCGCTCTGGGCGCCAAAATAGATCGCTACGCCTTTGTATCCCTCCCCACCATTCCACTCCAGGTTCTTTCAGTCTTTTTTCTCGGGGGGGGGGGGCACTTGATATTTTCGGAGGGAGGGGGCGGACTAAATTTTTCCACTGGTAAAAGTATATATATTTTTATATAAATTCCATTTCGTTCGGGTGGGGAGCGGTAGAGCTGGAAGAAACTATGTCTTACTCCCTGCTATGTATTGTCATGTCACAATAATTTTTATTTTACTTTAAACCGTACCTGGTCGAGGTCCGTGTGAAACAGTAAAACGAAGGCGATCGGAAACCCCAGCTCTTCCTCCGTGGGGCGGGGGTAGCGGAGAAACCCGTACACCTCCCTAAACATCGAGCAGTTCGCGCAAGCCTCCAGGTACTCCGTGGGATACACGCGGCTGACCTGCTGGTCGTACTGCGAGTTGTTGACCTGCGTGCGGAACATCTGCTCGCAGTTTGTCGTGACCAGATCTTTGAACCCCACCCAACCTTTGGCTCTCACGTCCTCCAGTTTCTCGTGAAAAACCCACGGGGTGTCGCGTGGGGTGACCAGCGTGGACGTGAAGAGCAAGCCCACCGTTCTAGACACGCCCGGCTTTCTGCTCATCAGGGTGTGGATCGCCCAGAATGAGTGGATGCACCAGAGTATACAAATAATTAAAAGGATGACTATTAGAGAAAGCACTGCAAAAAAGAAAGCAGAAAACATGATAGAATTATCTATTCTATATAGTTTCTAAATAAATGTAGCATTTTATTTAATTTTTTTCATAATAAGCTGAATATCCCATGTCTCATTGCTGTGGTATCTCTATTAGCTGTGTAGATGTGTAGCCAGAGGCGTAGCGAGGGGGGGGGGGGCGGGGGGCGGACCGCACCGGGTGACACCATTTAGGGGGGTGACACCAAGGCAAAAAATAGCAAAATTTATAGAGAAAAACTTGAGGGGGGGGGTGCACATCGAAAACTTGAGGGGGGGGGGGGTGCAAATCGAAAATTTGTCCCCGTTAAGGGTTGCTACGCCTCTGGGGGGTGACACCATTAAGTGCCGCACCGGGTGACACCCGACCTCGCTACGCCACTGTGTGTAGCCTATATCTCGCCATTCAATCAAAATTTGACATAGTCTCGTCCATAATTTACTTTAAACGTCCTGAGTGGGAATGGCGTTCAATAAAAGTTATACACATTGGAGGTTAAAGACGTGCGGAGAGTTTCTTCCAGGCATCTCTTCTAACCGAACGAAATGAAATTTATATAATTTATTCAGAAAATATATACTTTTCACAGTGTCCGCCCCCCCCCCCCCGAAGAAAGTCTACCGCCCCCCCCCCCCCCCCCCCCCGAAAATTTCAAGGCCCCCCCCCCCCCCAACCGGAGAAAAAAGTCTGGAAGAAACACTGGACGTGCGGCGTTGTTGTTTTATTTTTTTGGTGGGTGGGGGAGGGGCGGCAGTGGCAGATTGCTTTGAAACAAGTGTAGTTTAATGCTTGATAATTGAAATATCGCTACTACATCTAATCACCACGACTACAACTGCAAGATTGTAAGAAGACATTTTACAGACACCTACAGATCCAGAAATAACATACATATCTAGATCTCCTAAGTATTAGACCTACGTTCGGCTATTTTTATTTGGAAGATATATTATAATGTTTTAAAGTGATGTAAAGCAGATTTATTTTATACAGTTTACTGTATTTTCAAAACATTTTTTTTATTTACCATTTTTACGTAAGAAACATTTGAAAACATTCATGCTTTTAGTTGAGTTCAAGCTTCATTTGCATCAAAGGTGTATTCTTATAATGGTTATTTTGGATGTTTTTTTTTTTGTTTGTTTTGTTTATCGCCCACTTCCGCTATCTTCACCCATCTAAATGAACGCGCTATTTCGGGGATTTTCGGAAATTTTCATAAGAAACTATCCTACTCATCGAAGTTATAGGATCGAATAGTAATATTCTTGAAAAGTGGTTCAAAAATCTAGATCTATATACTTTTTCTAAAAATCTTTTAAATACTTTTAAAAACATGGCAAGCGATAAAGTTATGGTTACATTTTTACTTTCTCAAATATACGAAGTATAGAGAAAGTCTTGTAATCGTGCAAAAAAAAAATCGAGATTTTTACAAATCTCGACGTTTTACACCTCACTGATACGGAAAAACATAATTTTGCAAACTTGTCCGTATGTCTGTGTGTCTGTCTATGTGTAAACACGATAACTTGAGTACCGTTACAGCTAGGTTGATGAAATTTTATATATAAGTATTTTATCAAAATCGTAGGTCCGTATCAACTTTTGAGCGATTTCCAATAACCGGAAGTGGTACTTTTTCTACTTTGAATATTTCAAAAGCCTTGTATGACTTGAGTACTATTTCAGATAGATAAATGCAATTTCACATGTATAAAAGATCTAATTCTCTACCTTCTGTCAAATTTTGAGTAATTTCCGTTGACAGGAAGTACTAATTCACGCTATTTCCGATTTCTCAAAAAACGCATGTAAATTTATAAAGTACTAATAATATTGCGCACTATTATGCACATTTTGTTTTGGCGTTCGCTTGGTGCGCAATTCTTTTGTTTCTATAAGATTCTTTTCTATTTTTAAAAGTTTAAGTAATTAAAAATCATGTCTATATCCCAAGTTATATAAGAATATTCGAGAAAGTTTAGGGGAGGCCACTCCCGCTTTTATTTAAAATTATATAATTATAGCTGTTTGGGAACCATCGATTGCGCGTATGTATATATTTTTGCATTGAAGATAAGGAGTTGAAAAGAATTTAAGATTTACTATATCAATACAAATATTTTAACATCTGTCCTGTACCTATCAGTGAGGCAACCGGAGTGGCCAGGGAAAAGTCAAATAAAGTCACAAATATAGCGTTCAGAGTTACCAAAGATAAACAAAATGCAAACGGTTTTTTATTCAGCTCGATTCAATATGTTAAAAATGCATTTTCATATATTTTTTATTGAATTGGTCTCACCATTTTAAGACTATTTTGCTCAGATGTTATACAACTAATAATTATTTATATAAATATTTCTAGCCTAAATAAAACCGAAGTCATTTTGTACCTAGCAGTGGCGTAGCAAGGTCGGGTGTCGCCCGGTGCGGCACTTAATGGTGTCACCCCCCCCCCCCCCCAGAGGCGTAGCGACCCTTCCCAGGGACAAATTTTCGATTTGCACCCCCCCCCCCCCGCCTCAAGTTTATGATTTGCACCCCCCTCAAACTTTCGATTTGCACCCCCCCCCTCAAGTTTTTCTCTATATATTTTACTATTGTTTGCCTTGGTGTCACCCCCCTAAATGGTGTCACCCGGTGCGGTCCGCCCCCCCCCCCTACGCCTCTGGTACCTAGTTCTCAAACTCTTTACAAAATAATTCCATGTTAATTGAAAAATAAAATTTCTGGCAACTGTACTTTCGAACCACTTTGCAAGTGTATTTCTAAAGGGCAGCAAAACTAGCTTTTTTTCTTTTTGACAGTATGGCTTGGGACATTAGTCTCGAGACTGTACAGGCAGTTTCTTTCATGCATCTCTTCGCCCGGAAGAACTCCAAATGCCCCATCTCCCTGATGGAATTTTATCATTAATTTAAAAAAAAAACGTTTTAAATGTTCTTTTACATCAAGGTGCTCCATTCTAATTTCTAAGCTTTCTAGCAGCATGTATGGAATCCATGCTGACACAGCGAGATAGGAACTACTAACTACTAGTATTCTCTACCCGAGCTGGAGAAAACAGCCCATATTGGAGACGAAAGATCGCCGGAAAAAAATCTCATGGATAACAAAATTCACTTTATCGTAAAAATAATAAATGGGCAAGTAAATGAAAAGTAACTTTTCAGACCAGACAGTCCACGGGGCAAATGAAGTAGAGTTCAACTGTTTCTGTGAATAATGTAGTCAGGACCAACCCCAGCCGCCTCTACTTTTTTTCTCTCGAACCGGGCAAATATTAATGCTGGGAGGACTAAGGCAGTTTCAGACATGTTCCAGTCCGCTTTTGGGGGGAGGGGGGAAGAGGAGATACACTTTAAACTTTCCGGGAGGGGATGTTAGAGTACACATTTTCTATATCTGGTTTCAAGAGATGCCTGGAGATTCAGTGGACACAGGGACGTGTGGCCCACTAAAGCCTGATAACTACCAGTCAGCAATCATACACTTTATCATCAAGTTTAATAAATGTCAGATAATATACAATCTATTTGATTATCTAATCTGAACATGCAAAGCATGCGGAGAATGAGGATACATGAAAAAAATTAAAATACCACAACGATCCTGTTGAAAATAGTTTTTATTTTGATTCAACAATAGCAATTTGTATCTGGGTTGAGTGCCATGCACAAATCCTCAGCCAAGACAAGCTCAAGGCACAGACTTGAACAAATGTGGCCACAACCAGCCACCAACATCAAGGTGGCAACACACATCACTGGCATACAGGTAACCAACATCAAGGTGGCAACACGTATCCCTGCCATACAGGTAACCAACATCAAGGTGGCAACACACATCCCCACCATACAGGTAACCAACATCAAGGTGGCAACACGCATCCCTGCCATACAGGTAACCAACATCAAGGTGGCAACACACATCCCTGGCATACACTGATATAGGTAACCAACATCAAGGTGGCAACACACATCCCCACCATACAGGTAACCAACATCAAGGTGGCAACACACATCCCTGGCATACAGGTAACCAACATCAAGGTGGCAACACACATCCCCGCCACAGGTAACCGTGTATGACTAAACAAACACCCACCACGTAAACACCCACGCTACACCTAGAATACATGATATCCCAGAAAACATACTCCATAGATAGATTTGAACATAAGCACACAATGGAATTCACCATTTCTCTGCATCAGTTACTCTTGAGGGAAATTTTTAAAATCATACACCCTTCTTGTAACAACTTGCATCATACTGCTGCAAGGTCTGTTCTTACTATCTAAACCATAGCCCAATGCTAACAAGACTAGGTTATCAAAAGAATGAGACATAATATCAGCTATGGCAAACAGTTTGGATTCACTGTGCTCAACAGATTATAGATTCAAATCTAATTGTTCAGGGGCTGTTTGGGACATCTATACATTATTTTTTTGTAAATGTCATTGTTATGATTGAATGGGTCATGCAGACAGTTATGGAATGCATAAAATAGTGGGGTTTTTTTTTATAAAATTAGTCACACATAAAAAGCATATTTCCTGTACCCAAGAAAACCAGCTTTAACTTAAAAATTTGTGAATGGGGAGAGCTGGATCAACACATTTTAAAAATTAGACGACAGTAAACAAAGATGGGATTTGTTAAAATTATGCACTACAGTTATATATCCCTCATTGAAAATGTATACAATACATACCATTACCATGGACATTTTGTATTTTAACTGACATTCACAAATGTATCATGCTGGTCAATTAATTAAAGGCTGATCATGAATAAAAGAACACCATTAATGAGCTGATGGCATTACTATTTTAAATCATAACAGCTCCACTAAATACAGCATGTGTCTGAAACAAAACTGATATTCTAATACTTAAAGTAAACGAGTTATCTCATTTTAAGAGCTTAAAATAAATACAGAAAAACTTGTATGTCTTAATTTTACACAACTGAAAACCTGGCAATGCAGCAAACAAAAATATAAACAACACACAGAAAGGTCAAGGTACTTGCCAGTTAAGCTTGATCATGACTCATGTCTAAAAGTAAAGCTAAAGTACTTGACTATAAAAAATGAACATAATGATCTGTTAAGTGTTTCATAACATATTCGCAATGCTGCTGCCACAAACAAATTAAAGGGAGAAGGCACTTCAAAGTAACAAATTCAGCTTGTTGGCTTGCCTAGAGCACTGGTCAATGTTTTAGTTCCCCAATATTTCTCCAAATCAAATGGCTGGAAGTCTGAAAAGTATATTTTGAAGATTTATTTATTGTGCTAAATAAAAAAATCCATATAACAGCAATTAAACAAATTGTATCCAGAAATGAGGCTGAAACTCTGTAAAGTATTTTAGAGGCTTTTTTAATTTGACTTAATACCAACAAAACCCAAATTTTAACATTATACTTCAACAATTTTCATACATCACTGACAGGGTAAGATAAATGTACACAGATAAACCACTTACTGCTGTCCATTTCTCTTTTCGGTTCTTTGTCTAGGTACATTTCATATCCTGATTCTGAATCAAAACAATTTAAAAATTTTAATTTAAGTCAGATATTGGTAAAATAAAAAAAATGTATTCCACCCAGATAAACACAACATGTAACCAAATTAAATAAAAGATTCTATAAATATTTTGAAGCCAAAACTATGCACAATACCTCCATCTCTTCCTCTAACATGACTCTCTTGAACTTTTTTCCATTCTGAAATATAGTTATTAAAGTAAACATGAAAAGCGAAGGCTAACAAGTGCATTAAGCAAGAACTTAAAAATACTGTCACCAGAGTTTCTTCCAGGCATATCTTCAAAATGGAATTTATATAGAAAACATACTTTTAACAGTGGATGAAACACAGCACATTACAGTAAGTTTTAATAGTTTTGCTAAATTACAGTATAAAAGAGAAGGATAAAAAAACAAATACTAACAGCAGAAATATTCATAGCAATTAAAGAATACTTACGTCTCATAAGTAAATTAACCATGTCTACATGGTTTTCGTGTAAATTAGGATCTTGAACTGTCACAGGTTGAGATCTTTTATTGTTACCAGTACGTCTTTGTTGAAAAACTGGCTTCTGGATACTAAAATATAAAAACACCAATAAGAAATAAAGACCACAAGCAATATTTTAAAATATAGTTGAATTCTGACGATATCCGTTAAGTTTCCTGTAGCAGAGATGACTAAGGGTTTGAGGTTTTAAACTCAGCTTCATCATTTAACTTTACCAAAACGAAGCAACTGTAGTATAACTCTTACAAGCTTTATTTTCTTGTTGGTGTCTCAGGCTTATCAGTGCCCTTATGTTTTTTTTTTTATTTAACAGGATAGAATAAAACTTGAGATTAGGCCTAATACATTTAAAAAGGGTAAAGGGTGGCTCATTGGGTTATTTCATTTAGGAAAAGCATTATAACTGAGTTTTATAACCAGGGACTTAGTAGGCTATATATTATACACAAAATGTATATACACAAATATAGAGGCCTATATAGCTTAAGTCTTGACTGTCTTAATGTCTAGCATTAATTTAATAATGGAGATTTAGCTAGATTAACTTAACACTACAGAAATTTTCATAAATCCTAGTCTGTTTCTCCCCTCCCCCCTCCCTCACTCACCCCATCCTACCAGCCAGAGCATTAGGAATGAAATAAAAAATAGGTATGACCACTGTTTGTGCCAAAAGTCATTGTAGGTTAGTTCCTTCAATTGAGGTAATCAGCCAGGTTAGTTAATGAGAAGTGTTTACTAAAGCTCAAGACCAAATCAGTGTAGTTAGTCTCATATAAATTCAATTTTCTTCAAATTATAAAAAGAATAGCATATAATTGTAGAGCTTTAAAAATGCAATCCAACAGTACCAATTTTATTAATTTAGCATAATCGGTTGATTAAATATAATTTTTTTAGTGTCGCAAATAAAATATATAGAAACGCGACCAAAAACGCAGGTAAAAAGTCAAATTCACTTGTTTTAAAGCTAGTAAGCAAGAAAAGACATGATTCTTTCTTACTATTGAAATCAGTTTGCTTATACCTACATTTTTTTACACCAAGGTGAAAGTAAATAGTTTATATAAATTTATAAAATGCCATTTATATAATTTATTGTATGTTTTGTGATGAATTTTCAATTGGAAAATACCGCATTTGGAAGCAGAAAGGTAAATTCTACAGAACAGATGTTGTTTGGAATGTTATAGATTATAGATCTAAGCCTATATCAAAATGTTTGTTTAATAAAATTCAATTAGAGTCCACCCATTTCTGATGGGTACCTGATATACATTGGGGAAATTAAAGGTAAAAAGTAAAGGCGGCTGTGAAAATCGCTGACCACACGGACAATCACTTCATATGCCGAGGTCAAGAAACATGAACTCTACTTCATCTGCCAAATAGATTGCATTGTCTACAGAGGAATCTTAATTAATGTTTACAGGGGCCTAATAAAATTGAGTTATGTTTGTAAAAACATTAGGCCTAAGCTTTAAAAACTTATTTTGGTCAATATCGGAAAAAATAAAAATCTTTTCGACTAAATGGGTTGAAAAAAGCTTTGAATTTGTTTCATTGTTTGTTATTATATCTTGTAGTATTTAGAATTGAAGCTTTCTTTCTTAATTACAAGTTGTATTAATTTCAAACCTTAATGTAATTTCTTTTTAATTCAGTATTAGCCTAAATGTAAGGTAGGCTACAGAATTCAGATATTACCTATGGTTTTGTGATTTTTATATGTTTATAACATTTGTGTTTATGAAATGACCTAATGAAGTTATCAAGCAAACTGTTTTATTATTATTTTAATAGGCCTGCAAGTTATAAGTACAAAATATAGATATCTAATCACTAGATCTAGAATCTAGATCTAGGTCTAAGTTTAAGAAAAAACTACCAAAAGGGTTTGAAATACTTAAATATAGTACTAAAAGTAGCTATGTTTTGAAAAAAAAATATCTTAAACTGGAGACATTCAATTTAAAAGTCATTATAAAAACTCCACGATCTAGATTTATTTCTAGATCTCTAGTAGGAATACAGATTTAGAGGCTTTCCCATCAGTATCAATGTACTATCTTAGCTATGTGGGAGGTCAGTACGAGTTCACTGGGAAAAAAATCGGATCTGCCGTAGGGGGGTGGGTTTAGTGCGCAAATGCTCCTGACCGATTGCCAAAAGGTATAGAAATTCTAAAGATACATTTTAAAAGAAAAATGGACGGCTGAACTGCAGTTATCAAAATATCTGTGTAAGTAGAAGTATAAATAATAATATTTTACACAAATATAGCTGTCTTTTGCTAAATCTAGATCAATTTCCACGAAAATCGCATCCGGTCGCAATAATTTTTATATCAGCTTGTCGGCCATTCAACGATCTATCACGTGTAGCAGACGCCAAACAGATTTACCCGTATGGTATTGCGCGAATGCTATTTTTAGCAACAGTGCCGAGACGCGATCGAAAAAAACGAACTAGAAAGTGGCCATAAAAAAGCGGGTCAGGGGAGGTAATTCAACTCGCGTTATGAGACTAGCTAATCAGTGCATTCAGACCCCAATTCAGTTAGATCTGCTCATATTCAAAATTCAAAGCATTCAGTTAGATCTGCTCATATTCAAAATGGGCCTTTTTTAAAAATTGTTCTTATGCAGTGTATACTAAACTACAATCACTACACACACGAGTTTGACTCTTAACACACATCTGTTCTTACTCGTTTCTGAGTCGTTGGTTACAGTTAGCAGTTAGATTTACCAGTGCTAAGTGTAGTGTAGGGGTCAAATAGGACACTTTCCACGTTGTAAATGTCGTCATACAACCAGTAGTGAATAACTTTTCAAATTGTTCACTTTTAAACAGGAAAATAATAAAAATTGATCGTGTGATGGCTTACATAAAACCATTGCTACTCACTTCATTTCTGTTACTACTTGCTCGTCGATGTCAGGCTTTGAAAGAGATCTAATAAATGTGGACTTCTCTCGAGTGTCGTGACTATCAAAATCTACTTGTCTAAGAGGCCCTATGGTAAAAAAAACAAGTATTTTAAATAAATAAAACTATCAGACACCTCCGGACAAGTAAATCGCCCATAATTTACAAGAAAAACAATGGAAAAACCAAAAAATCACTCACCTCTACGAGCGCTCGTTACTATTTTACTTGGAGCTTTTGTCAGCGTGTACATTCTATGGTGTGTTTACAGTCCTCTGCGCATTTGCTTTGCGCAGACGTTTCCAAAGAGAAAAGTATGCATAATACTTTGTTAAGCACAAAAAAAGATTTTAAAATGAGAAAGTAATAATAAATACACAATCTAAACATGTTTTTTTCTACACATTTAAAATATTGAAATATTAAAAAAAATAAATAAGATTAATAAAATATATTTAATATTATTTCTCCCTCCGGCATCAAGCGCCGCTGGTGTAGTGGTATCATGCAAGATTCCCATTCTTGCGACCCGGGTTCGATTCCCGGGCGGCGCATTAGCTTTTTGAAGAAAGTAATTTTGATTTTGTTAATAAGGTGCTTTTTTTCGTATATTTATCCATACTTTATATATATATATATTTGTATATATATTTTTTGTCGAGCTGTTGTCCCTTTTCTCATCCTCTTGCACTTGAGCAAAATTTCAAAGGAGTCGTCGATTCGTAGGGAGAAGGAAGGCTCCGTAATTTTGTAACAGTGTGATGAGGGCAGTAGCGTAGCGAGGGGGGGGCGGGGGGGGGACATATGTCCCCGGGCGCCGACCTTAGGGGGGGCGCCAAATTGAAAGTTTGAGGGGGGGGGTGCAAATGAAAAGTTCGAGGGGGGGGTGCAAATCGAAAGTTTGAGGGGGGGGGGGTGCAAATGAAAAGTTCGAGGGGGGGGTGCAAATCGAAAGTTTGAGAGGGGGGGGTGCAAATGAAAAGTTCGATGGGGTGGTGCAAATCGAAAATTTGCTCTCGAGGGGGCGCCAAATTGGAAGTATGTCCCCGGGCGCCGGGAAGGGTCGCTACGCCTCTGGATGAGGGTAAGGGGTTCAGATAGTTTGACATCACCCTTCTGCATTTTAATAAGTAAAGTTAGAAACTGAATTTTAGCCGTTATTTTGGAGTTTTTGAAAACTGTTTTTGTAAATTAAATTGTAATCAGAGGCGTAGCGACTTCCCGGCGCCCGGGGACAAACTTTCAATTTCGCCCCCCCCCCCTATATTTGTTATGTTTATAATTTTTTTCCAACCTATTTTGGCCCCCCTAGGGTCGGCGCCCGGGTACATGTGTACCCCCCCCCCCCCTTTCGGTCAGTGTTTCTTCCAGACTTTTTTCTCCGGGGGGGGCACTTGATGTTTTCGGAGGGGGCGGTCAACATTTTCCGGGGGGGGGGGAGACACTAGTAAAAGTATATGTTTACTATATAAATTCCATCTCGTTCGGGGGGGGGGGGCGGTAGACTTTCTTCGAGATGCCTTGAAGAAACTCTGCTTTCGCTACGCCTCTGACTGTAAAAGAAATTATTAAATATATACGATGTGTGACGGACGAATGGGGAGGTAAAAATCGTCAAAAAAGCGTGACGTCATTTATGAGTGCCCCCCCCCCCCCCAAGTAAAAACTAGATGCTTATTTATGACAGAATGACAGAACGGTAGGCCAATATATTTTTAAGCTATGTAATACATCAATGGCGCAGTCAGGAATTTATGGGCTCAAAAACTTATTATAATTTTTTTAGTTATCAAGAAAAGTCGACCTAGAAAATAGACTGAGCTTAACTTAATGAGGTGTCGGTCATAATATAATTCGCATCTTTACAACGATTTTTATCTGCCTCGATTCCCTATCTTCACACAACATCGCTTTAGTCCAAACTCACCTCCCACCTACAGGAATGAGACATCGTTTATGGACAACCCCTAACTTATATTTTATCTTGTTTTCGAAAGAAAAAAAGATAGAAATAAATTTTTGAGTGGCGGGAGGGGATGCGGGTGCAAGCCAAAATGTGATGGGTGCAGAGTTTCTTACAGGCATCTCTTCAGGGGGGGGGGGGGCGGCGGCTCCGAAAGTCTACCCCCCCTCCCCCGAACGAAATTGAATTTATATAGAAAATATATACTTTTACCAGTGTCCGCCCCCCCCCCCCCCCCCCCCGAGAAAAAATCTGGAAAAAACACCGAAATCTCTGTCTCTAGACATAAAGAAAAGAAGAGTTTTTTTTTTATAAACTTGCCTTAGGCCCCTAAGCTTACGTTCATTTGCAAACTCAGCTGTGATTGGGTACATTGTTCAGACAAGGGAAGTAAATAGAATTTGGGATATGAAAATCATGTTTACGTTTGTTAGTTATAAATTTCTTTACTTGCAACCGCTTTTGTGCTGTTAAGTCTAAATAGTAAAGTGTACTGTTAGATGTGTTACCATCTAGATCTCTAGAACTATACTATAAGTAGAAAATGAAGCTATGGTAGGTAGATCTAGATCTAGTAAGAAATCTAACAAACTAGGCCTATTATTTATAATTTATAGATCTAGACTCTACTAGACTACACGTCCAGTCCAGGTCCAGAGTGAGCTAATCCAAAAAAATAAATTATCTAGGATCTACTAAACTATCTACATTCTACACATATTGTCACATATAGATCTATATTCGGTAATCTATCGTTTTGGGTACGTAAAATCGCCCGCGATTTGTAATGTGAAAAACAGGTGACTCCTTAAATTTTAATAATTATTTCACATTTTGAGGAGGATTTATGTTTTAAAAAATTCAAAAATGTTTCCTTGATTCATTTATGTACCTGTTTTTAAACAATTGAATTAAAACTTTTCCATAATAAATGAAGACTAGCCATGTTTCCAACAGATGCAATCATGCTCATTTACTATAGCAGCCATCTTGTCTAAGTTTTATGTTTATAAGCTTTTAGCGCCAGATTCAGGGGGAAGTCACTCTATTTTACAAATGGCTGCTGTTTATATAGCAAATCTTGCTCTCAGACACTGCTGTTTAAAGTTAATTTCTGGCCTATATCGATATATTTAGCCATTGATTTAGGTTTATTATTCATTTATCTATAATATTTGACACAAAAGTATGACGATATACTTCTATTAAAGCCTTGACAATGAGGTAACGTTTTCGTACATAAATAGCCGCGGGCGATTTTACGTACCCAAAACGATAGATTACCCTATATTCTACTGCTCTATATAGTCATCTAGATCTAATCTAGATCTAGTTCTAATCTAGATCTTGAATATATTTTTATTCTAGCTAGACTAGATCTAGATATTATTTATTTTATTCCAGGCTAATGAACAAGATGGACTGGCCCTGGCTGTGTCCAAATGAATTGGCATGGAAAAATATAAAATTATTTTTTTATTAAATCTGACTATAGTGTATAGTAGGGCCTATTTAAAATTTCTTTTCAACTCTTTCCAATACTATAGGCCTGCATTTCTAGTTTTTTTTTTAATTTCTATTTTATTTAATTATTTAGTATTTACTATTTAGGGCCTGTTTCCCCTCTTTTTTTTAGATTTTGTGGATTCCATGAAATGTGTTTCAGGTAGATTAGGCCTAATTATTAATTAATTCGGATGATATTTCGTGTCGTCCCTTTGAATCCTGGTCAGAACGTGTCCGTGTCCGTCCCCCCCCCCCCCCCCCCCGTCGTGGCCTCAACCAACCGGCGGGCTTGTTGCATTGAGTTAAATATAAACTCTAAACAATAATATAAATTAATCATCTGTTCCATTCTCCATTTGTTAAATGCACAGTAATAACTCAAAAATAACATATAATTTGCTTAGATTCTTCACATTTTTGTAAGTGATATATAAAAAAAAAGCTCCTCTTGTCTTTAATTTTTTTCATTGCTCTTTTCTTTTCCCACCCAAGCCTGATATTCAAGGCCTTCAAAGTCATGGGTTAGTTTTCTAATTATATCATACAATAATAATTTTAAAAACAATAATTCTAAAGTATTATTTTCAGTTAGACATAAAACCGGATGAGTGCATTAATTGAAGTTATAATACTTTTTGTTTTGTATTCTAGGTCATTTGCCAGATATTTTTTTTTTGCTATTACAGTACTTTAGCAAAATAAAATTTGATTTATTTTGTCTTTATTTTACCCTTATTGTAGCCTTAAAAACATAAAAATGTTGGCACTTTTCAAAAAATACATAAACAATTCATACACAAATATCTAATAATGGTCTATCTACCTTAATGAGCCTAAGTTTTATTCACTGCTTGACTTACAGTGTGTTTACTTTGATGATTAAATATGGAAAATCACTTTAAGTTGAATGTTTGTTTTCAGACCATTTTGGAATGCTCTGTACTCATTGAAGATTTAGAAAGAGAAGGTAATAAACATATTTCTTATTAACCAATTATGTATTTTTTGACCAATACAAAAAAAAAGCATTATGTGATTAAAAATGGAAGAGTTGTTTCTGGTTAAATGTACAAAAATAAAGTTTCCAGTAAACCATTTTTAATTTGTATCAGCTTTTTTTTTATTGAAGTTGAAGATGAATTACAAACAAAAGTGAAATGGGTTAGGGTTTGCTACAATATAAATTATGATCCTATTTTCAATTTTACCTTATAGTGAGGTATTGATACAGAAATTCATATAAATTACTTATCAATTCAAATATGCACAATGTATGTTTGATTAATGTGTGCAGTAGATTAACAATCATTTGATAATGTTAGTTCACTTAACTTCATCTAATACCTTTCTGCCTAATTCTATGTTGTTTAAAATAATTATTATTAAGTGATTGCTTCTTGAGTACATACTTTTTTTTTTGTTAGGTGCTGTAGAAATTCTGCCTGACTAACTGTAGTTCAGACATCATGAGCAGGCCTGGTCACATTGACATAGATGCCATTATATCACAGCTCCTTAGCTGCAAAAATCAACCTGGAAAACAGGTAGAGTTGATGCATATTTTCCTTGCATATGAGTAACTAATGCAGCTAGAGTGTAATTAACATTTGACATTGGTGGTATTTTTAAAAACTGTCACTCTAAACAATTTACGGAGTAGTCACTTTATGGTTAATCTGATTCATAGGTGCAGCTTCCAGAAGCTCACATTAGACATCTGTGCATAGTATCAAGGGACATTTTTATGGAGCAGCCCATGTTAGTAGAATTAGATGCACCTGTGAATATTATAGGCGACATCCATGGTCAATACGATGACTTGCTACGACACTTTGATGCATGTGGATATCCACCCAATGCTAATTATCTTTTTCTTGGAGACTATGTAGACAGGTAAAATATATTCACAAGTGTAGTAATTCATAGAGTTGATTACTTTCTTATTGAAAATTTTTGTTCATGACACAAAATAAACAAGTAGGATATAAAATGTTTCAAGTAATTGTTAAAATATTGTTTGTGTCTTCCAGAGGCCGACAATCTTTGGAGGTCATTTGTTTGCTTTTAGCTTACAAAATCAAATATCCTCAAAACTTTTTCATGTTGAGGGGAAATCATGAATGTGCTTCAATCAACAGGTCGAGTAAAGTGTGATTTTATTATTAAAATTCTTATATTTTTTTATGGGTTGGTTTTAAAAAAACATTCTCCATGTTTTCACAAAATGTATCTTCTGTAACTTCCATAATAACAGAATATATGGTTTCTATGATGAATGCAAGAGGCGCTACAATATAAAGCTTTGGAAAACATTTACTGACTGTTTCAACTGTTTACCTGTTTGTAAGTACATTGATGAATGAGTAATATATTAAGTTAAAAGGGGAGAGCTTTATGAAAATTAACTGCCTTTGGAAACAGGAATAATTTTAAAATGTGAGGCTGCTGAACCATTTTCTATGCATAAAAGTATGCCAAGGCTTTATCACAAAGGTGCCCTTAAAGGGAAAAGAAAATTGAAGAAAAAAACAGTAGTAAAAGTTTCTTTTCCAAGATTACTGTAAGCAGCAGTGACTAAGATAATGGATAATTTTATCAATTGCTTTTTAAGTTTATTAACACTATTTTCCTCATATTACCCCTTATGCTAACATTGATGTAGGCAGAAAAAATATTTTTTTTTATAAAGAAATTTTTATAAGAATCTAAAATATTTATTTAAAAAAATAATAAAGCTGTGCCGTGCTTTTAATAACTTCTGATTCATGTTTATTTTTAAAATAAAAAATTGTACTTACATAAACAAAACAATACTTTTATCAGTAATGTCTTTAAAAATTTCAAAATAGACCTGTACTTCTGTTAATACATTTTCTGACTGAATATTTTCTTCTATTTATTCAAGCTGCTATTGTAGATTGTACTATACTGTGCATGCATGGAGGCCTATCACCAGATCTTACAGAACTGGATCAGGTGGGTATCACCAATTATTTTTTACCCTATAAGTATGTTAAAAAGTCTTTGTCATCATTAAAATTGTAATCAGCTATTGTTGCTCTTAATATAATCCATAAAAGTTGAAATCTAAAAGAAAAACATCTGCTGATCTTACAGTTACTTTGCACATTTTTAACAAGAAGTAATACAATTGATGAAAGTAAATAAAAAACTAAACAAAACATTTTCAGATCCGCCATCTCCATAGACCAAGTGATGTACCTGACCATGGACTGCTGTGTGACATTTTGTGGTCAGATCCTGATGAGGTGGGTTTAGATATTGGTCAGAGAAAATAAATTTACTGTTTTCTTTCTTTTTTTAAGTGTAGACCTATAATTTTAATTTATCTTGATTTATATTATTAGTAAACTTGTTTCCCTTAAATATGGAGGTTTATCAAGTTATTTTATTTTATTGTTTGTTCTATTAATGATCAAATTGCAAACTACTTGTTATCATACATATCTTCCTTAATTAACAGGATATTACTGGTTGGGGTGAAAATGATAGAGGTGTGTCATACACATTTGGTGGCGATATTGTGAAGGAATACCTGAGAAGATTTAGTTGCAGTTTGATTGCTAGAGCACATCAGGTGAGTGGAACTTATTGTTTTGTAACTGCTATAAATCTAATGATGTTGCAGCTATTTCTTCAATAACACACTTAACAATAATAAATACTAACCTAAATATGACCTAAATATAAGCCATACTTAAAATTTTAACAAGTTGTGTTACTTGCAAAGGGCTAAACTAATTCCCATAGAACATGACCATATTTTTAATGCAATAAAAATATTTGAAATTTATGTTGGTTTTATAGGTTGTGGAAGATGGCTATGCATTTTTTGAAAAACGAAAGGTAATTTTTTGTCCAGTGTAATGATTACCTTCACTTGTAGACTAGTACCAAATGCTTACTTTTCCTTTATTATTTGATGCATTCATTTCAAATAATAGCCTGAGACAACTGAAATAAATAACTTAAATAATATTTTTTATCTAAAAAATGATTAATTCAATTCCCAGCTTGTTACAATATTCAGTGCTCCCAATTACTGTGGTGAGTTTGACAATGCTGCAGCAGTCATGATTGTTTCGGAAGATCTGACATGCTCTTTCAAAATTTTAAAAGTAAGCCTTGCACTTGTTCAAACAAATAAGATTTATAGTTAGTTGATAGCTAATTGTTTTCAAGTTTCACTTTTTAAATGTTACACAAATTTCATCGAATTGAGCTAATAACTCTTTAAGACTTAATTTTTAAGAATGTAAATATTTTGTACATTCATGTTAGTTCTATATTTTAGATTTCATATGTAATATAGTTTATTATGGAAAGATTAAACCAACAATAAATAATTTCCCTTTTCAGCCCTCCACAACAGAACCTGCCAAACCTATTCCAGCAAAAGGCAAAGTAAGATGAGATGAGATGTTCATGTAGATTGATGTACAACACAACCTGCTTTATTTTAGTAGCTAGGAAGCTTTTTGACCCTGATTTTTTAAAACTTATGAAAATTATAATTCATTTACAGTCAAAATATTATAAATTTCAGCCTATACCAAATTTAAGAAATAATTATTTTAAAAGCTAGACAAAGAAAATTTCTGTTCTGTCTCTAAGAGAAATTGTGCTTGTATTTAGTCTAAAGACAACATACATAATGTTTTTCTTTGCCTTTTTGAAGTCAGACAAGATTCAGACTATTAATTCCAATATGCATGTAATTTTCAATTTCCATTATTTCATTTGTCATGCTGCATTGGTTTTTCTTTCCATTAACTCATTCAAGACTATCGTTGGTGGTTTTGTTCTCATTTGAATCATAGGCCATATTTAGTGTTGATAGGTGTTAAAATAGCAAAAACATTTAACATTTTAATTCTCTGAGCTATCAAATATCTTTGTTAAAATATTTTTTTAATTACTGCATAAATTAGCAATTAAGCAATTATTTTGTACATTATGTGTGCTTAAGTTTATATCACTGTGGCAGTGAATCTTATAAATTTTAAATAAAACCTGTTAGTATTTAGTATTGACCTTTTATGTATTTAAGGGTTATAAATAGATTAATAATTTTTTTTTTTAGTTCCTGTGTCATTTTTATTTTCTGAGTTTTACTTGGAAATGAATCACCAGTAATCCAAACATCTGAAGTACCTTTGATTTTTGTAAATGTTTGTGGGGCATCAGTTACCTACATTTTTAGAATCTGCATTTAAAACAGATTGACATCATCCTTCACGTGTTCCTTTTCAAATTTGTAAAGGTGATGGGAGCCAGATGGGCTTACAGACATCCTGCAAACTGAAATCTAATGCTATTTATAAGTTTATTTTAAAACTCAATTTGTGATTGTTTGGCAGGAATCAAACCTTTACTGTCTTGCATATTTAGATGTGGCTAACATGCTGCGTACAATGACTAATAAAATACTCCCTTTTCTATACATCCATGAAATACAGTATTTTTGTTTTTTTCTGCTGGCAACTTTTAGCCTGAGATATTTTGTTCCAGAGTGTTCATACAGTTTTATTCTAGTCATTTTATTCTAATTTTTAATTCCATTTTACATGGAATTTGGTGTTTATTATTTTTTTCAGCTATTGGCAGCACCATGCTCATTATGAACATTCCTTTTTTTTTTTCATTCAGAAAATCAAATTTCTTGAATAGTATTTTACATCTGTACTTTGCTATAAACTATTGTTTTTCATAAATATATATGTATTTAATAAGAACGAGAGCAGTGATATAACTTTTCAAATATGGCAACATCAACCAAAGTGTATTTTAAAAACTTTAATGTTTTTGATGCTTGGATATTGGTATACTTTTTAAATTAACAAGATCATAAAACATGCAAAAGTGTACCTGCACAAATGAGAATGAATAGTTAATTTAAAGGTACATTTCAAAGTGATTGTTCTATACATATTCTTAAATTATCACAATCTGCATCAATATTTTGCTTTTGCAATTTAATTTGGCTTACTTATAATTATTTTCTAATTTTATTAGAAACAAAAAGATATATGTGTTTATTAGATATTTGCTGTATGTTAAATGATCATCACCAGTTTTTAAAAGTAATTTCATCTGTACTGTTTTAAAAGATTTATTTGCTTTATTACTGTTATAAACCCTAAAAACAAGTAAACAAAATTGGTTGTAAATCTGTTAAGCAAATATGTTTGCATTTCATATAGTTATATTAAGATCCAAAAGATGATTTTAAATGGTTTAACTTTTAAAAATGCATGATTGAAATAATAATTTATTCCTATCAAGTTTAGACTGCTCTTTCCATTTTGTAATTTTAAAAATCTTAGTTGAGTTAAATGAACTTGCTGTATTCCTAACTGTGTATGCTTTAAAATTATTCTTGAATGTGAATTTTTAATCCATTATTTTCACAGATTTTATCTAATGTATCTAATATAAACTGTGATCTTTTTTATTTTATTTGGGGTTCAATTTTATAAGAGTTTTTTTGGATGTTCTGTATTTGTGTTTATCCATAAAATATTCATCAATAATATTCTTTTTGTTACTTTGTTGTGTCATAAATATTTAAAACTATTATTAACTACTATTATTATTTGTTAAAACTCATCAAGATGGTGAGGTATATTTTTAATTACATTTTTAAAAATGTTAAGCAACAAAATAGAATTTTCATGGTCAAATTTCAAGTGGTTTTTTCAAAACTGAGAAGCCAGCACTTGATCTTGTTTTTCTTCCCATGTGCATAGTTTCCTGGATTTCCATTAGAACTGATGACTCGATGGCATGGAATTAACAATGAAATAGGGTTTGTGGACATAGCCTGTCCTGCAGCTCTGCTGGCTTTGGCATTGCCACACAGCTGTGCTAAGTCTTTATATGTGATGGTGGTGCCAAATGGAGCAGATGAAGGAAGCAGCTGTAATGCTTTGCCAGAAAATGTATCTGGGGAAAACCAGAGTTAAAAACAACTGAAACATTTTTATAACTCTTTAATTGTTTTGTAGTACACTATTTGGAATCACAAAAACAACCTGAAAGCATTAACATTTTGTTTCAAATATGAAAAGATCACAACAAAAAAAAAGTTCAATATATATTTTAAAATATTTTTTTTTTTAAAAAGAAAAGTCATCAACTTATTTTACCTGATTTCATAACAGAATTACATATCTTTGGGATATTTGTGCTTGCAATTTTTTGAGTAAAATAGTCTTTCAACCATAAATAACAGCTGTTAGCTGCATCAAAATCCTTAACTTTTAGATTCACTTCTCGATCTGACTTAATCACAATTGGCCTTCTAAAAGAAAAAAACCACACACTAGATTTTGTGATATCATTTCAAAATATTACATTGTTCAACTGATACTCTAGTATTCTAGGGCATAGTGCTGTCCACACTATTCCTTCATTTGACAAGGTACATAAAAAAACAAGGACTCTACTTAACTTGCCCAATGGGCTGTCAGGTTCGAAAAGGGAACTTAACTAATTTACTTTACTGATATTCTAGTGTTTTACATATATTTTCATTTCACAAAAAAAACCATTAAATTTAATTACTTTTTTTACTCACTTTATATCAGGAGAGAAATTACTGTCATCGACTTCACACTGGAAAACAGAATGCAATCCATTTTTACAAGAAATTATTTCAATATCACCGATAGGAGAGGAAACAATATGCTGAAATATTTTCCCACCAAAAGGGCAGCTTTCCATCTTTTCCACTGGCATTTTACCTATCATTATACAAAATATGGCTTTATTCCATAGTCTTAACCAGCACCTAACTCAAACCTAACCATTTGCATAGTTATCATCCTATTATTATATAGATCTAGGCCTATATTTATTATTATATATGTCATATTAACTCCAGTTTAAACCTAACCCTCGTCATTTCTCCAACTCTACAGAAAAATTATTATTATGTAGGTCTAAAATGAGGAATCATGCACCTACGTAAACATGAATGAATTGAATGAGGGTTTGTAGTGGTTTATCATTATATTGCATAAGATGAGTTAAGATGGGTTACTGATTAAATAGAGCAATTGTATGTAAAACTACAATAACACTAAGTTTTTATTCTCATAATTTTTCTTTCTTCTATTAAAAATAAATTGACACAACTGGCGAATAGATTAATTTAATTAGTCTAATTCATTATATTGTGTTTCCAAGTGTTAGAAGAAATTTTCTCTAAAATTACATATAGATCTAGATCTAATCTATGTGGTTTCAATAATGTGGGTAGACTACTTTTTTAAAATCAATGTATTGGTTAGGGAGTGGGGGAAGCTACTATAATGAAAAAAAGTTATTTCAAACATATGGTCCTATGAGAGTCTTTCACAAATCTTTAACAAATATCACACATCTAGTCACTAATATTCAAACTAGTTTATTGACGTAAAATTGGTAAAATATTTATTCTTATCATACTTTTCTTGTTTTTCAAAATTTTTGCAAAAAAATTGCCTCTAGCCTCAATCCTCTCCTCCCCCCCTCCTCCACTCAAAATATATAGTTAATTCTAAAAGTTTTTTTTTTTGTCTGTAATACAATGCCACACAGAAAATTATAACACTAACACAGTTATAAAAAAAAATCTTTCATTTATAATGGAAACATTGAGAGAATCATATACTTTTCAACTAGTTATTTCATTTCTCAACATTGTAAAAAGGGATTTACAACTTATCTTTGATTTCATTTTTAGTGTTAAAAAAATATTTCACTACACATCAATTTGGTTAAAAAAAATTAATTTTTGCTGGGAACTCCCTTCCCGTTTGGAAAAGGTGGGATGTTTTTAACTGGTCATTGGCATTGGCCCTTAAATAACTGATGTAGAAATTTAGTTATATCAATATGTAAAGCAATGTACTGAATGTAGCAGTCAATTTAAGTTGAATTTTCTTTCATTTCGACGGTATACAATTCAGTAGTACTACTCAAAACTAGGCTTAGCTTTTAATTATTTTTTTCTCAACGCCTCTTGGCGCCCACTAGGATCGGCGCCCGGGCCGCGCCCGGGATTGCCGCCCCATACGCCAAACGCTTTCGGAAAGCGGCTTTCCACTTACTACGTCCATGGGGTGGGATATTCATATTATTATTAAGTAACAAGAACATAGACTTAGGGTCTCGTTTTGGTAATCCCTTAGTTTAGCGTCGGTTATTATTCCGGAATCGTATAGCAGTAAAAAACAGTAAAACAATAACAAAGTCTGTCACACACTTCCGGAATTCACCGGAAGTACCGTAAACCATACTTTATTTGGCGTCTTTTTTTTATTTTTAAACAGAATGTTTAAAATTTGGATAGATTTATTTTTGTAATCATTTTTACATTTTGTAATCATTTTTACTATTTTCGTAATCTAGATTTTTTTACTTGGCCTAGCAGCTAGATATCTAGCTAGATCTAGATTTAATTAATTAATGGTCGCAAATCCGCTGCAAGCCAAAAACATTAAATTATTACATTTGATACATTATTTATATTTATATATGTTTTTATTTTTAGATCTACTAATTTAAATCTACTATTATATTTATTCTTGTTTCCTTTTGTCGATTAAACTTAAAAAATTAAAACATTAATTTACTACAATCGACTTTCAATTTATTTATATTTCAATGGTCAAATAAACCATGGTTTACCGTAACTCTAATTACCGAAACTCAACAAACATTACCCGATAATTTCCGACGCTAAACTAACACGCGTCTTTATCCACTTTAAGAATTAAAAATTACAATGATAATCTCAAGATCTAACGTTACTAACTTCACGAAGATAAATGTAGCACCGTGTGTACTGCAGAGCAACACAACATCGATTGATTAAATTACAAAATGTTTTTAGTTTTTACAAGCTTTTATTTAACTCACTTCCTCTGTCGTCAGTCTGTCGTCAGTCTAGACGGAAACGCAGGAGTGAAAATTCGGACAGTTCTACTTGACCGACACGATTCACATTTGGCACGTGGGTCAAGACATGAAGACAATGCAATCTGAAACTAAATTTGACTTAATTGGATGCCTAATTGATTTTTTATGAATTAATTAAAATTTGGACCGAATTAGTAGGCATGTCTAGCCAACCACACCACACGCGTCATCAATAGCTGCGCCATCACGACCACGTAATGGCTGCGTTCAAAAACCATTGCGCGCCTACTGAACGTGATATTCAGTAGGCGCGAAATGGTTTTTAGTCATGTAACTCTATTGTAGATAAAACATGTAAAGTACTGAAAAAAAATTCATAAAAAACGTTTTAATAACAAGCTTTTATGTAATGATGCACTAAAAAGTAGAAAATAAATTATAGACTACTATTTAAATAACTATAAAGAAAAGCGTGGGTCTCTTCTCAAATATTAGTAAAGATATAAAATAGGTACTAAAGTACTAAAGTGCCCCACGCTTTTCTTTATAGTTATTTAAATAGTAGTCTATAATTTATTTTCTACTTTTTAGTGCATCATTACATAAAAGCTTGTTATTAAAACGTTTTTTATGAATTTTTTTTTATTAATTCATATCATAATGTAAATGTAGGTCTAGATCTAGATATATAATACTGTTAATATTATATATTTAAATCTTATTATCTAGATCTTTTGTTAATTGTTCATAGCGTTTAAATCTAGATTCTAGTCTATATTGATAGATTTAGTATATTTTACTCCAATTTAAATGTAACAGTTTCTTGTTTTGGAAAATCTTATCAGTGTGTGAATTTTTTAATAAATTGTGATGTAATCATTTGTGTACAAAATCATGTTTATGTTCAACTCTTCATGTTCTATCCCAACATTCCCCCCACTCGAAAGCAATATGGCCGACGTATACAGTAACACAGGTGTAAAAGAAAGTGTTATCGACATCAATTTAACAGACATCACAACAAGCAGTGATGTTTAACTAATAATGTCTCAAGTTATTCCTGGTGGAAGACCAAGAGCTTCTTCTGATGGCGATATATTGGATGAAGGTTTTTGTGGAGCCTTGTTTGTAAATCTAAGCGAGCGCCACAGTGAAGAAACACGGAACAATTCGGGAAAAACGTATGTAAACATCAACAATAACAACGGCAGTCGTAGCTGTTTAGATACTAGTAACGACACGTTTGACAGTGATGGCGAGATAAGCTCTCAAAGCCAAAGTAGTTCTGTGACATCCAGACGTTTAAATATTTTCAAGTCTATGAGAAAAGTTGTGTCCCGTGCTTTCGTAAAAGAATCACCGAGTAAACTGAGTCAAGTTGGAGACTTGAAAAGAGTAGACAAATTGCGTGCCAGTGAAATATCCAAAATCTGGACACCAGATCTTAGACATTTAACTGAAGATATTAATGGAAAATCTCAAGAAGCTGAAGACCAACAAGATTTAGGAACAATGTCTTCTGCTCGTCCATTGATCACAGATCCAAGTTTAGCAATGCTAGCGCCACAATGGAAAAAGACACCAGGTACCATTGGAATATTAAATCATGGCAATAGTTGTTTCATGAATGCTGTTCTACAGTGCTTAAGCAATACAGATTCATTTACTGAATATTTTATTAAAGATCTTTACAAACATGAAATAAAAACAAAATTCAGCAAAAATGGGAAAAAAGGAGTTTTTCGCACAAACCATGGAGAAGTAACAGAACAATTGGGACATTTATTAAAATGTTTGTGGTCTGGAAAATACAATAGTGATATATCAAAAGAATTCAAAACTGTTGTTGGTAAATTAAATCAGCAGTATAAAGGTGAACACCAGCATGATGCTCAAGAGTTTCTTCTGTGGCTGCTTGATCGTATTCATGAAGATGTAAGCGTATATCAAAAGAAAAAGTTTAAATCTCAAAAAGTAAGTTTTCTTTTTTAAACTATAGGCCTAGGCCCAATTAATTTCAAATCATGGTCTGTCTAGATTGTTAAAGTATGTTGTACAACCGAAGCTTATGCATTTTGCCTGTAGTTATTAATGAATTTTTTTCAAATCATATAATTCAATATTCAGTCTAATGCCGGTTTTATATTATGGCTCAAACCTGCATCTTTAAGGAGTTAAGTAACTAGTAGATGGAATTAAAAGAGGACAAGAAATTATTGCAGCTCATTAGGGTCCCATTCCAAGTCAAAACACAAAGAACACAACATACTTTACAGTTTTAGATCACTAACAATTATAAAATTTGTTGCTGGAATGTTAAAAATTAATGCATCTCCTAATAAACAAATAAAGTTTTTAAAAAAGAGAATGTGCAATTGCAGTGAAGCACTGCACATTTAAGTTAAATCCTACATGTGCATATTTAGACCTCAGTGTCTGGTAATTCACAACAGTGGTTTGTGTAACTAAATAAAAAGACCATTAGCAACAATTGCAAGACACATGGGACAAGCTAGAAAGAAAATCAATAAAGCTAAAGATGAAAGCATTATTTTTTAAAAAACAGAAGGGAAAATCTATTATTTTTGGTATTGAAAAATATTGTTAAGGAACAGAAATAGCATAGTTTCAGTCAATGGTTTTACTGCAATGTGGTGGTTGGAATTAGGGTGTTTCAATGAGTATTTTAATGTTAGTACCTGGACACTAACATTTCTCTACAGAAAGGTATGGGGTGGTGATGTGAAGTCCCCCTGAGCCTAGGTTTGAGAATGGTCATGGTTGACTGATTTTAAAAAGGTCTGTGCTGTCTAGGCTAGGATGTTTGTGGTTTCCTCAAAGCTACAGCTAGCCCAACACCAGATGTAACTTAAATCCTGGAATTCTTCACTGGATCATAAGAAATGTTATTGCAACATCTAATGTTAGGTACTTTAAGCCCCATAGATGACTTTAAAAAAAAAAAAAAAAAAAAAAGCCCTTCAGATTTTATCATTCTTATTCATTTGACAAGTTTGGTTAGTCTCATCACTAGCAGACCATGCCACCACTTAAGGGTAACCTAGTTTACTAATACATTGAAAAAGTAATCTTATTCTCTTCCCTCCTCCCCCCCCCCCCTCCCCGTTTTTTTTTTTTTTTTTGCTATGCATTTTCACCATTTAAAATAAATACCACAAGGGTATGGTTTCACTCTAACCCCTCCCTTTCCCCTCCTCCCCTACCATGTAGGCCTACACTAGCGTTTGTTCGGATAGTTATGTCTTTTGAAATAGGCTGGAGGGTAGGGGATGTAATGGTCAACTGACCTTGTATAATATAGTCAGGCAGGTGTGTAGCATACCTGTTGAACTCACCTGGACTAATGTGTTCGCCAGCGGGCAGTGTCACGCTGTTACACACGGACAGTGTCACGCTGTTACACACGTTAGCATGGGCGTCACAGTGGCTGACAAGCTGAAATTGTTTTAGATGTTTATTGTTGTTTTTTTTTTTTCAACCACAATTTTACGCAATTTGTATTTAAAAACGGCAACCTTTTGTTTTAATTTAACGGAGATAATCGTGCTTGTGTGGTCTTATTTGTTTTCATAATGTTAATTTTGCACGGGGAAAATTGTGTTTGTATCCTGTCAGACTATCAACTATATCCTGTTATCTTGTTTTGTTCGTGTATTTAGTAAAATTTACTCTTCTCACATTCCCTCTCCCCCCCCCCCCCCACCCCACCCCACCCCACCCCACACATTTACTTCGCTCTAAATAAATTCCTCTCCCACCCCAAAAGCCTAAGCGTTTAGGAAATGTGTGCTATGCGGCGGGGAGGAGGACTTGCGACAATACCCGGGGGGAGATGGGCATGAATGTCGCTACTTGTTGGAGTGACCTACTTACCTGTGTTTGACCCATTAGCTGTATTGGTAGTAAGGGCCCTTCACATACGCGTCAGTCCAGCGATGCGATCAATGCAACCGAGTGTCACCAGGTGAATTTAAACAACACACTATTGTTGTTTGATGACAAACAGAAATGTGCTGGCAGGCCTCGTGTTTAATCCGCCCGAGACTTAAACTAATTTTGTTGTCTGTTTCCGTAGTAATTTCAATGTTGTTCCCGCCATTTCTGTCGTTTGACCAATTTATTATTTAATGTTTGTTTCCCCCATCGGTCATTTCACTATGTGGACTTTTCAAACCCCTTAATTAAGTTTCAAAAGGTCAGCAGGATTTCATCGGCGAAATACAAAAATACGTTAGTTAGGCCTATACAACTGCAAAATACGAATGTTGGGGAATGTTTAATCTTGTTAAGAAGATTATTATTTGTGGTTTATACCCTACTGTTTAAAAAAATTCCTAATAGAACTTGAAAAAAAAAGTAGGGGTCTCAAGAAACGTAGTGGTGAGTGGGATGTTCGGTTGATGGGCATGGTGGTGGGCTGGTTGATCTGTTGGTGGACTTGTCCGACAGTCGGACAGTAAGTGACTGGAATGGTAGATGAATGGTACGATTCTATAGTTTGCCAGCGCAAACGTGTTAAGATTATAATTTTTAAAATAAAAATAAGACATATTTTAAAAATCCATTGAGTTGCCAGTAGCAGCAACTTTCTAAAACCGTGTAGACGTTAAAATTAATGGCCGATCGCGGGCGTTAAACTCTTTTTTTTTTTTAAATTGAAAAGCAAGCTTTTTTTAAAAAGTACTATAACATGTATCAGTTAAACTATACGTGGCTTAATTGTATACAAAAACTACAAGTGCTCTTTTTTTTATTCAGCCGCCATCGCCCCCGAGTAATTTAAATCCACCACTGCTTTAAGATCGCTATCTGTGTTGAATTATTTTACATGTCGAAGTAAAAGCATTCAAAACCGCCACTAGCTGGTCTGTATATTCTTGTATCTGAAGTCCCTAAATCATTTGATTAACACAATCCGTGCTCGCTAATGTCTGTTTGTATACGTAGTCACTCTCTAACTGGTACTCTCTAACGTGGTCACGTCACTCTCTAACGTGGTCACGTCACTCTCTAACGTGGTCACGTCACTCTCTAACGTGGTCACGTCACTCTCTAACGTGGTCACGTCACTCTCTAACGTGGTCACGTCACTCTCTAACGTGGTCACGTCACTCTCTAACGTGGTCACGTCACTCTCTAACGTGGTCACGTCACTCTCTAACGTGGTCACGTCACTCTCTAACGTGGTCACGTCACTCTCTAACGTGGTCACGTCACTCTCTAACGTGGTCACGTCACTCTCTAACGTGGTCACGTCACTCTTTAACGTGGTCACGTCACTCTCTAACGGGGTCACTCTCTAACGTGATCTCTCTCTAACGTGATCACTCCCTAACGTGGTACTCTCTAACGTGGTACTCTCTATCGTGGTCACGTCACTCTCTAACGTGGTCACGTCACTCTTTAACGTGGTCACGTCACTCTCTAACGGGGTCACTCTCTAACGTGATCTCTCTCTAACGTGATCACTCCCTAACGTGGTACTCTCTAACGTGGTACTCTCTATCGTGGTCACGTCACTCTCTAACGTGGTCACGTCACTCTCTAACGTGGTACTCTCTAACGTGGTCACTCTCTAATTATGTTAACGTGGTCACTCTCTAATTCCGTTAACGTGATCTCTCTCTAACGTGATCACTATCTAACGTGATCACTCTCTAACGTGGTACTCTCTAACGGGGTCACTCTCTAACGTGGTCACTCTCTAATTATGTTAACGTGGTCACTCTCTAATTCCGTTAACGTGATCTCTCTCTAACGTGATCACTATCTAACGTGATCACTCTCTAACGGGGTCACTCTCTAACGTGGTCACTCTCTAATTATGTTAACGTGGTCACTCTCTAATTCCGTTAACGTGATCTCTCTCTAACGTGATCACTATCTAACGTGATCACTCTCTAACGTGGTACTCTCTAACGGGGTCACTCTCTAACGTGGTCACTCTCTAATTCGAACGTCTGTAAACGTGGTCACTCTTTAAAGTGGTCATTCCGTTTAATTATGTAGCCATTCAACATATGCTTAATTTAAAATCCAACAATCGCAAATCTCATGTTTAAAAGGTATAACATTTTAAGAGTCCAAGAAAGACATTGATTTCCTCGCTATATTAAAATAGATCAGGCCTGCAGTTGTTTTACGGCCATATTTTTAGCCGCCTGTCATATTGCTCGTACTGTATCGTAAGACAGGAAGTCGTGATGTTCGCATGAACTGTTTGCTCTAAATACGTTGGGGGGGGGGGGGGGGGGGGGAGCAATGCTCCCATGTGAAAGAGCAATTAACTTCTCTCCCTGAAGACATTTATATTTCTTGTATTAACTTTTAGCTTATTTGCCACTACCAAGCTAGCCCGCGATTTGAAAAGTATTTTTTTGTGCCAGCTCCAAAGCTTTATCACTATGCACAGTCGATTCACGTAGACGCTTGACAAAGACGATACAATAGTAAGATTGTCAAGCTGTTTTAGAAGAGGGCGATTACCCTATTGAATTGATAGCTTGTAAACATGGGGTGGAGGGGGAGAGGGAGATTCATGAGTTCTCTTCCCCTGCTTAATACTGTGTAGAGAACTTTTTATCCATTGATTAACTTCGTTTTTTTTTTTTTTTTTTTGTATGCTAGGTATGTTCTACTTGATAAATTAATTTAATGCTCAGCAGTTTTCAGCTACCTAATGTTACAATGTTTACTACATTTTGGTAATTAAAAAACTTAAGTACTATTTCAAACCTTATGATTCAGGTGGAGTCCACCTGTTTCAGTGACCTCTGCATATGAAGGGATAGTGTGGTCAACACTATGCCCAGCCCTTTTTTTTTAAATAAAAAACAACTTACATTTAATACATTTTATTTTATTCCTTCTAGGTGAATGTTTTATTTTATCCTTTTTTTTTTTACTGTTGTGTCCATGTTTTGTACAAAATGAACCTATTCTCATCAGTTTTTGCTAGACTTTTAAAATTTAAAAACATACATGGACATTTTTTAAATATTTTTTTTAACTGAAATTTTCTAAAGACAATGACTTTATTTTCTTTCTCTTATAGACAGTTCTGACAAAGACAGAGGATGAGTTAGCCCACGAGGCAGCCTCCGTGAATGGAGACAGCTTTATCCTCAAGCTGTTCCAGGCTGTCCACAGCTCTACCCTCATCTGTACCACCTGCGGGGAGAAGAGCAGCACGTTTGACCCCTACCTGTGTGTGTCCCTACCTCTGCCGCAGAAGTGTCCGCGGTGCATGTACGTCAAAGTAGTGCCTCTAGAGCCTCACCACAGCCAAGTCATTAAATACGCTGTGGTTCTAAATCAATCAGACAGCGTACGTGATCTGAGGGAACGTATATCTCGAGAAGTCAAAATCTCCACTTCACAGGTATTAATTGTGTTGGTTTTTCCAAGCACTTTTGTTTTTACTAAGATCATTTCATTTAAGTACCTTATTAGACCTAGCGATCCATTAGGCAGACGAAGTAGAGTTCTTCTTTTTCTTGACCTCGGCTTGTCATATGAAGGGATGGTGTGGTCAGCACTATGCCCAGCTGCCTTTACTTTCCCTAACATAAGTCAGGTACCCATCAGAGCTGGGTGTACTCCTACAGTCATAAGATCACATCATTGTCATGTTATAAAATTTTTAAATGCTATATTATTATCTTTTCCCCCCATTTTAGATAATTTTGGTTCAGATGAAAGAGGATGGTTTTGGGGCCACATACAGCGACGAACAACTGTTGTCTGATATTTTTGAGAATGAGATTATTTATGCCGTCGAAACACATTCTAATGATAGCAGTATGAATAGTTCTTTACTGGAATATGAGACTCAAATGGCAGAAATCCTGGTGACTCATGTTGAGGTACAGACTGGATCCCTGAACAGGTATTGTGATTCTCTCAGTATTGAAATACCTAAAATAAATATAATAATACTGTTTTTTACTTTTTTTTTCTTTCTTTTTAAATACTAAATCTGGAATTTCACTCTTTCAGGAAAATAAGTGGGTGTTATTTATTGATTTACTTTAAATGGTGTTAATTCTGTTTTTAGTTATGGATTTGGTGCCCCTGCTTTGTTGAGAGTGAGAAGAGATATAACATGGAAGGAACTACAGAATGAGATTTTAACCTCAATGGGAGATGCTGTCTATAAAGAAATATTTACTCAGGTAAATATAACCCTAACTGCCACATGAAGAAAACTAGGTTAATATAGTCGGGTAGCCATTTTTAAAACAAAATTGCTAAAAATCTTATAGTCATTTTGTTTTTTTACTTTATATTACGTTTTTATTTTAGAAAAGACTTAAGTGGAATTTTTTTATTTTTTTATTCAAGTTACTATTTTTATCTTCAAGTGTGTTGATTGACAACAGACTGAGATTATGGGGTACTTTGACCAGTTGGGATCTATATCACATGTGACTTAAACTTGTCTTCGCCTGTGATTTATCTGGCATGTTATGTTTTCCCCTACAGAAGCTGCATCCCCTGTTCTCACTGCGGATCTATGACGGAAGCTCTGAGAGGCTCTACCTACAGAGGGATGTAGAAATGCCACTGTACACTCAGTCTTTTGAGAGGCAAGTTTATATACACACAGCTATATACACAACTACTCTCTTCAACTGAACATGTGAAGTGATTTTATGCGCCTCTAAAACATTATTACACTACTGTGCTTCAATACACCCGTAACTGCGGGCATAGGATGCAGGAGTTTGTCTGGGGGGGGGGGTGTCTTGTGAAGAATTCCTCATTTATACAAAAATACATATGTGTATTCCATAATAATTTTAAGATTATAAACTAGTGGGTTTATGACATTTAATATTTAAAGTTATGAAAGTGATATGAACGTATTGTCAGCAACAGATGATGTAACTGTCATTTGGAGGGGTCAATGACGGATGTTGTAATACCCCCCCCCCTAAGCCACTTTATCTGACCATAGTAAACAGGCTGCTCTTAACAACAAAATAAATTTAAATGTGCATGTAATAATGAAAGATGCTTTCTTTATTCAGAGCATACAGCACATTAGATGAAGACTTTGGACCAGCCCATGTCAAGATTATAGTAGAGTGGGATTCAGCAACTAAAAAAACGTATGTCCAAATTTTAAAATAACCTGTATTTTATTTCTAATTAGCTAAAGCTTTTATGATACTTCAGTGATAAAAAAATTATGAAAGATACTGAAAAAATTATGAAAAATGTTTTAATAGGGCCTACTTCTGACCTTTAATGAGTATTGATTTTACTTTTTAGGCTACTGTTGGCTGAATAATTAAATTACAGTTAAAAGTTTACACTCATAATAATCTCATTTTAAAATACTTTATAGACCTAAACTGTGATTTTAGTAACTGTGAGTTACACTCAGTAACAGCCCCATAAATGAAAAGGATTTTATCTTGAGAAATAATAGAATAATAGGTAGGCTATCTGATACAAGTACTCACATATGCTGTGTTTTGTTTACAGTATAATAAAAGATGACAAGGAGCATACTGAGATTCACCAGTCTGTTAAAGATGTTCAAAACAGCTCACAGGGACAGGGCAAAGTTTCACTTGAGGAATGTTTCAAGCTGTATACTCAGGAGGAAAAGGTATTGTACTCATACACTAAGCAAGTCATGTTTAGGAAAATTTTACATTGTGAAACATTGCAATTTGATAAATATACTAGGCTATACAAAGTGAACAAATTATTTGATTTTACATGTCTTACACTAATTTATTCATTACTTATAAGTTGCTTTACATTGGTTGTTGTTAGAATTGTCACAGCATTAAAACAATAGCTAAGGTATTTCTTAGTTTTTCATCACAGTTTTTTTCAAAGTTCATTAAACTATACTCAAATTGTGTTGACTGCATTTGGAAAAGTGTTTAAAGTTGAAAACACTTAATTTAAGCTATTTGATGGTTAAAATTTTTTACTGCATGCCTAGTGCTGTATGATAAGATTAACAGTAGTTATGGTTCTGTATGGGGACGGAGTGGTCTAGTGGTAGAGAGCTGGACTGCTAACTCGTAATCGTAAGTCTCGAGTTCAAATCCGGGTTCAAGTCAGTAGACCGTCCCTGAGTCCACCCAACTCTGATGGTACCTAACTCACGTTAGGGAAAGTAAAGGCGGCTGGGCATAGTGCTGACTACACTATCTCTTCATATGCCAAAGTCACAGAAACAAGTGAACTCTACTTCACTTGCCCCATAGACCGTCAGGTTTGAAAGGGAAACTTTACTTTTTTTTTTTTATGGTTCTGTATACCTTTTAACTACCACTAAAAGGGCTCAAGATAAATTAATTTCAAACTTTAACATACTATGCATTGTAACAGAAATTTGAACATAGATGTTAGTCAATGTAAAGTTACAATGGGTCAATGTAAAGTTACAAATGGTAACAAGCAACATAAAGCTACTAAACATTTAACAGTCAGTTTGATGGTGACAGCTGACATATTTACTGCATATTGTAACAGAATGTCAGTTTAATTGTGACTGAACAGAATGTATCTGCTGCATATTGTATCAGAATGTCAGTTTAATTGTAACTGAATGTAATGTATCTACTGCATATTGTAACAGAATGTTAGTTTGATGGTGACTGAACGTAACATATCTACTGTATATTATAAAAGAATGTCAATATCAGATGTTAAAACAGCCTGTATTCCCCAGCTCACTGGTGAAGACGCCTGGTTTTGTCCTCACTGCAAGCAGCAACAACAAGGTACAATCAAAACATTGAGGCTGTGGTCACTACCTGACATTCTTGTCTTACACCTCAAAAGGTTTAAACAGGTAATTGCTGGAAACTAAGCTGCAATGGTGTCAAATGTATATGGTTTGCTATTTAGTACTTTTTTTTTTCCTTTTCCAGGCTGGTATCAGTTAAATGGTTTTTTTATTTCGATCTAGTACTTGATTATTTTTAGGTTCCAGGCTGGTCTAAATGAATTTTTATTTAGTTCTTTTTGTTTTTTTCTTTTTCAGGCTGGTCTTAGTTAAATGGCTTTCTATCTAGTACTTGATTGATTTTACTTTCCAGACTGGTCTAAATTTTTATGGCTATCTAGTTAACACTGTATTGATTTCACTTTCCAGACTGGCCTGCGGCGCAGCAAGTTAAACACACTGGTAGAGTTTCCTATAGACAACTTGGACATGTCTCCACATTTATCTCATCGCATGATTCAGACTAGTCCCCTCAAACAGGACGACTACACCTACGATCTCCTGGGTGTCAGTAACCACTACGGCAACATGATGGGTGGTCACTACACCGCATTCTGCAGGAGTCCTGTGGACGGACAGTGGCGGGAGTTTAATGATGCCAAAGTGACAGTGCTGGACGGTCCTATAGCCACCAGGGAAGCTTACCTCTTGTTCTACCAAAGGCGAAGTCTGACCAAGGACATTAACAAACGACTTCACACGCGAGACCACTGGGTCTTTTCTCTTGATCTCTCACCCATTGAGCCACCTGCAGAGACTGATGTTGGGTATAAAGTGGATGTGGCACAACCACCCAAGCGATCTCGTTCTAGATCCGCCTCCCCATCCTCTCATAAACAAAACAACAAAGACAGCAGTGTAACCACACGTCGAATCCCATCTCGACCTCTGACCCCTCAACTTCCCCGTCGCTCCACAGAGGGGTATGCGTTGCTGGATGATTCCAGACCGACCAGCCCTGATTCGCCAAAAAGAACAAGCCAGGGTAGGCAGTCTCGTCAAGTCCAACGCCAGGTATCTGAGCCCCACATCAGGAGGGATTTGTCTGCAGGGGCCAGCCTATCCAGACAAGACGTGGACAGGAGCTTGTATGGCAGGCGCAGCAATGACTACCAACCTAAACAAACCCCCCTGATAGACCGGGCAGAGAGGAGTCTGGCACTGTTTGGTAAGTCCAAGCCTCTTGCTGTCAACAATTCCAGAGTCGAAGCCTCACAGATAGACGACTGGGTTCTGGACCCTGATAGGTCAAGCTACCCCGAGACCCGCCCCAGCAAGGTCAAGTTTGAGGACAAAGAGAACTACAACACTCTTCCTAATTATAAGTCGCAGTTTTACCCCACCAGTGAAGACGCCAGAAAAAGACTTGCGCAGTTGAAGAAACCTACCAACACACTGGAACGACAAATCCCTTCTTCAATAGACACCATTGAAGAAGAGTCTGTATTAGTCAGGCATGGCTCCAGGAAATTTGAAAGCTCCAAACATAGCATTCCAGATTACGGCTACTCTTCTGACTCATTTTTACCAAGCAATGGCCATTCCTTATCTTCAGATTTCAATGATTACTCGGACATAAACAACTCATATCGGGAATATTCCCCCAAGAATTATATATCCAACCACGTTGTAGCGCCCAGCAGCTACACAAGACCAGAACTCAGTAGCAACCCTTTTTTCCGTGAATTGGCTCGTGTCCATTTTGATGACCTGGACCCAGATGATAGGTACACTACAAGACGTCCCATTGACAGAGGTAATGTTTAGTGCTGTATATTGTATCTGTTTAGATCTACTTTTATATTTTTTTAGCTTTACTGTACTGTCTGTAGTGTAAGTTAAAAAATGTGGGCAACGAAACGACCTTTGCTTTATTGTTTCCATAAGCTAAAACTGCTGACCAGGGTAATTTTTCTGTTTGCGCTTAACATTATGCAACATTATTTTTAGCAACACGGTTCCCGGTGATGAATTTCAACTCATTCTCATTTTGTATAAAGGGGAGTTGGTGGCCTGTTAAAATTTCAATTGATTTTTTTTTTACCGTTTCCACGGTGCCATTTTTATTTTTGACATAACTTTTAAAATTTAAAACCGAAATATTTATTTTTCTTCTCTAGACAAGCCATTTTCTTACACCAATGGCTTGCTGAATGACTACAACAAAGCTGCCACGCTGAGCCGGGTGCCCTACAGGTCACATGACAGCATGCCACGCTCCAACACAGATCACAGCATTCAGTATCTGCAGTTCACCCAGCCACCTTCACCCACCCCTCCACAGAACCCGCATGAGGAAAAGTCCTATGGCTCATCAGCTTTCTCTCCGCCAGCCCCCTCCTTTGGCAACTATCCATCCAACGGTTTAAGGGCCAGCAGATCTTCACGCACCCTCCCAAGTCAGTCTGACAGCTACAACTTTCATCCACCCAGGAGAAGTCTGAGCACACTCAAGCCCCTGAAACCCAAGGAAAGTTCAAAGCCCAACAGCTTTGGTAACATTCCAACACCTTGTTTGAGAGAATCCTCAGTCTGAGCTGATTTAACACAACCGCAGGACCCACTGGGTCCCCACAATCATACAAACTTGGTCCCCACAATCATACAAATATCAGATCCACTGGGTCCCCACAATCATACAAACATCAGATCCACTTGGTCTCATACAAACATCAACTTACTTAGTCAACTCAGTCATACAAACATCAACTCACTTAGTCATACAAACATCCAATCCACTATATGAACTGTATTACAAAAAGAAGAGATTTCCCACACACAAAATATTACCTCTATTGTCACCACAAGTGGTTGTCTGATATACTTGGCCAGCCAACCAGTGGGACAACAACAAAACATCTTCAAATATCAGACTACTGATGACTTTTAAACAATAATAAAGCATTTATGTGATATAGAGAGACACATGCTAACAAAAATTATAAGACAAATTCAGGTTGTTGCTTTTCTTTGTATTGTTTTTTAAATTTCCTTGTTATACATTTTTTTTTAAAAATGGTGTTAAAATTGTAAAAATCAATTTCAGTCATTGTGTTATTAGTAGTTTTATGCCAAGGTACCTAATTTTATTGTAAATATTGTAATATTTATTTTCCAGCAACTTTTTGGGAAATGTGTGTCTCTCTGACCCTGCTGAGATTATGTTTGCATTTCTGTATAGTAGGGCACGGCGGTGTGGTTTTGGGGTACCCGCTCATGAATTGATTAGCTGTGTGTGTTCATTCATCTGTCTAGGTGTGTTTGTTATATCCATCTGTACATAGGATTGTATTCATCATTGTAAATAAGAGCTGAGTCCTTGTAGCCCTCATTTGGTGTCAGTGTATAATTATATCATAATAACTGGTATGTGTGTATCATTTGTGGTTTTATATATATATAAACATATATATATATATATATATATATATATATATACATGTATTTATATATGTGTATATATTTATGTGTATGTATGTGTGCTAGTTTATATTTCGTGCACCTACATAATAGATATACAAACATACAGGTGTACAAAGAAAGGTAAATGTAGATCTCTCTATGTTGTTGTATGGGCTTCCAATAGTTACTTCTGACAGTAAAAAACAATGAACTGCAGGTTAAAGTGATCCAATTTTTTTTCACTCTCCAGTATTGGCTAGTTTTTTTTTTAAATTGTTGAGCCATTGACGCCAGTAAAAAAATAAAGGGCAGTTTGTATTATCCCAAAGACAGAAAGATATTCATTAAACTAAGATATTTTTTTTTTGTATTTGCTAAACCCCTTGCTCATCTTGCCTGTGCTGAATTTTTTCTTTTCATATTGTACAGTTTTAGGGTGTTGCTCGTGTGTTGTTCCCTTATGAATATAATAATTTCACAATTGTTATACATGTTTGATTCAAACTATTATTTTTCACTGACTACTCATTTAAAAATTGTGTTACGATCTAAAGCACTTCAGTGACGTCCCAATGTGTGAGCCGGTCACAGGTACTGGTTGTAAATCCATGTTCCCACCCCCTCAACCAGGCCAGGCAAACCCATATATTCTATCTATAGAACCGTCCGTGAAAGATAACTGGGGTAAGGGTGACTTCAACTGACTGGTCAGGTAATGGATGAAAGCAAGGGCTAACTTGAAAGAGGCAGCAGTGCGCTATGTTTGTTTTATTTACGTGTGCGAGGTCATTTCATGCTGGATTATTTTTTTTTTTTACGTATTTTTATATAACAATTTATTCTATTAGCTTGCTAAACAGAGGACAAAAATTTTAATGTCCAGATGACATGGTTAAAATGTCTGGTTTTTTTTTTTTTTTGTATAGCTGAGCTTATTAAAGAAAATTTCGTCTTGTTCAAGTACCATTTGTGTAGGCATTTGTTTTATAAATGTCTAGAGTAAGCTTAAACATTCCATGTGCACAATATTTATTTCAAACACATCGCTAGGTGGGATCATGATCATTGGCTGTGTAGTTTGGTGGATCATATCAGGTCATGGGTAGCATATGCCTAGCCGAAGGGGTCATCAGGTTATTGGTGGCTTATGCCTAGCTGAAGGGGTCATCAGGTCATTGGTGGCATATAGTGTAATTGATCATATTAGGTCATTGATGGATCATATTTTCAGGTCATTAGTTGTATCTGCCTAGCTTAATGGATCATATTAGGTCCTGATGTCATATATGGCATATGCCGAGCTTAATAATGTATGATATTAGGTCATTATTGATATTAGGTCCCTAGCTTGATAAATGTCATATCCCTGGTTTTGTTGGCTGTATCAAGTCATTGTCATATCCTATGGCTGTTGGATCATATCAGGTATTTAATGTCCATATCCTTAGGAAAGCAGATAATTTCAGGTCTAATGCCGTATCCTTAGGATAGCAGATAATTTCAGGTCTTAAATGCTATCCTAAGACTGTTGGATCATGTCAGGGTTAGGTCATATCCTTAGGGTGGATGATATTAGGTCTTTAATGTCATATCCTTAGAACAGTGAATAATATCAGTTCTTTGATGTCATATCCTTTAATGGTGGATCCTTATATCCAGTCCATGACATATCCCATGCGTGGTGGATCATCTACAATCTTTAATTTTATATCCCTTGCACGATGGATATGTCATATCCACAGTTTGGTACCAATGTCATATCCACAGTTTGGTGGGGCCAATAGTTAATTCTTTCTTCATTTCACCTATTTACTACATTTACTGTGTATGTGTATTTATATATAAATATATACATATAACCTTTGACACTTGATTTTTTTTACAATTTAATTGAAGATATTGGAACAAATTATGCTTTTAGAATTGTTACTTATTTTTGTGTAAATTTTTGCATAATTAATCACTATACTTAATTTTTGTCTTTCTTTTCTTTTTTGGTCTGATTTTTACTTTTATGTTCAACACTATCTCATTTACATTGACAGTGTTTTTTTATAAGCCATTCTAAGTGTTCTATACCAATTGTTCTATGCCATTTGTTCTAGATTCAATGTGTAAAACATGACAGGGGCCACTAACACTTGAGAACATTGTTTACCTACAAGTTCAAACATTGTTTAACTAGAACTAGTAGAAGTTCAAACATTGTTTAACTACAAGTTCAAACATTGTTTAACTACAAGTTCAAACATTGTTTAACTACAAGTTCAAACATTGTTTAACTACAAGTTCAAACATTGTTTAACTACAAGTTCAAACATTGTTTAACTACAAGTTCATATTTTCATGTTCATGGTAGGGGAAGAATTGTTTTAGTTATCCAGTGATAGGATGCTATGTCACAATGCTCAGGTAGACAGAATCAAGTGGTATTTTATAGAAGTGTAAGGGACTTGGGTGGTATTTGATAGAAGTGTAAGGGACTTGGGTGGTATTTGATAGAAGCATAAGGGACATGGGTGGTATTTGATAGCTATATTGACAGTCACTGTAGTGACATGGTATTTGTCAGTTCAGTAATAGGTAGTATTTGACAGCAATATTATCATTTTCTGTAGTGACATGTAGTATTTGACAGCAATATTGTCAAGTTCTGTAATGACATATATTATTTTTGACAGCAATAGTGACAAGTTCCATAACTGCATAAAAAAAAAAAATTGTCCACCCTTGATGTGTACAAGCACCAAGTGACCTAATTCTCCATGAGCAAATCTTATCAGGTGTGCTTTGAAAAGTGGACTGCCTGGCAAGATGTCATTTTTATATGTGCTGGTTGTGTTACTGAGTTGTGGTGTTACTTTTTAAAAATTGTGGTTGTGTTTTAGAGTTGTATTACTTTTTAATATCTGCCAAATGTAATAGCTTCTTTGTGAACTGAGTATGCAGCATGTGTAATTGAATGAATGTGTAATGCGTGTAATGGAGTGAACCTCTGTACTCAGCTTGAATGTGCTCTTGAGTTAGTGGCAGTACTTCAATCCATTCCTCATTTGCCCGGTTATTTATTGTGCTATTCATGTGAGTCTATATCAGGGTAAACTAGAGAACAAAATTTTATCCTAGCTATACCATTACTGCATGTGGAGAAATGAACTATTTGATTGGACATATTTTTTTTTAATTGTTACTCATCCCATTATTCTAATTATCTTATTCCAAGAATAAACATTTGAATAGCTGAGTGTCATGGTGTCATCAGTTGCTGGCGTGCATGACAGTAGCCCGAGTGTCTCCATTTCATCCCCGAGTGCAAGTTGAGTATATCCGCCTCCTCCTCGGATGACGTGTAGCACGAGAGGTGATCAGAGTTGTCCTTCCCTCGTTGATCCTGGGATAAGATCTCCGCCAGACCCAGCCTGTCGTCGCTCATGAAAAGCGGAAACAGCAAGCCGTCGCTGGTCACGTGACCGTCGTTCGCGGGCTCCTCTGTGGCGTTGTCCTGGGGCTTGGTGTTGGACTCGGCGGGAAGGGAGAGGTCGGACAGCGATTGCTTGAAGAGATCGCCTGATGGAGCGTAGGTGTCTTCTTCACCGTCCAGCGACGGCGACTGCGCAGACCTGTTTGCGCAGCACACGCATTTCCGCTTCTGTCTCTTGCCTTTCCCCAGGGTGAAGTTGTTGATGAGGCTGAACCGGTTCAGGTAGGTCTCGTGGATGGGCGAGCAGACGGTCATGCCGAGTAGCGCCTCGCTCCTGAGGGCTATCGTCTGGCTGATGGCGGCACTGGCAAGTTTGCGTGAAGCTATCTCCAGCTGTTGTACCACTGGAAGCAAATTTGGTTTGACAAGATCAGTCGGAAAATTGGCCAATTATTTTATCTTTTTTTATCAGACAAAAACGCCTACAATAGTTAGATTTAAGATTATACTAGATTGAACCAAGTCATCGTCATTTGAAGTTATAGCTGATTGTCAGTAGTACCTGCTACAGTGATAGCTACTTAATGGCATATTTCAGTGGTTCCTGGTACAGTGGTAGCTCTTAATGGCATATTTCAGTGGTACCTGGTACAGTGGTAGCTCTTAATGGCATATTTCAGTGGTACCTGCTACAGTGATAGCTACTTTTAGGGCATATTTCAGTGGTTCCTGGTACAGTGGTAGCTCTTAATGGCATATTTCAGTGGTACCTGCTACAGTGATAGCTACTTAATGGCATATTTCAGTGGTTCCTGGTACAGTGGTAGCTCTTAATGGCATATTTCAGTGGTACCTGGTACAGTGGTAGCTCTTAATGGCATATTTCAGTGTCAGTGGTACCTGCTACAGTGATAGCTACTTAATGGCATATTTCAGTGGTTCCTGGTACAGTGGTAGCTCTTAATGGCATATTTCAGTGGTACCTGCTACAGTGATAGCTACTTAATGGCATATTTCAGTGGTACCTGCTACAGTGATAGCTACTTTTAGGGCATATTTCAGTGGTACCTGCTACAGTGATAGCTACTTAATGGCATATTTCAGTGTCAGTGGTAGGCCTACCTGCTACAGTGATAGCTACTTAATGGCATATTTCAGTGTCAGTGGTACCTGCTACAGTGATAGCTACTTAATGGCATATTTCAGTGTCAGTGGTACCTGCTACAGTGATGGCTACAATGGCATATTTCAGCTCCTATAATCCACTCCTTCACATACAGGCAACAAGCGTTACCATTGGGTCTATATGAAGCCGATGTGTGCACACATTCGACAAATTTAGTGTACAAATTACTGCGGAAGGGGGTAATGACCTGCTCTTTTTTTTCGAGAAGGGGGTAATTGGCCGTCTGGGTAATGGCAAAGAGTAATACCCGCTCCCTTTAGTCGGGGTACTGGGAGTTGGAAATTGTATTTATGATGATTTCAGCAAAGCCCACGCTTGTCGCTTGCATGAAACCCCGCCCTTATCTCGTCATACCATCACCTCCGGTCACCCCTACTTCACTTAAAACCCATCTTTGTAGTTTCAGCTTCAAGATCGTGTGGCCAGCTGTTTCTTGCTCGCCATTTTTTCATGTGCTTTTCTTGTGGGTTCCACCTCATTGCCTGCCTCGGGATGGTTGGTGGTCTGCGCAGTGTGTGCCATATCCAACCAGAGTTTCTTCCAGTCTACCGCCCCCTTCCCCTCCCCCCCGAACAAAATTAAATTTATATAGAAAATATATACTTTTAACAGTGCCCCCCCCCCCCCGAAGAAAGTCTACCCCCCCCCCCCCCCCCGGAGAAAAAAGTCTAGAAGAAACACTGTATCCAACCCCATTTCTTTTCCTGATTTCTTCATTAGCGGAGAGTTGACCTGTCGTTTACTGAGTCAGAAAAAATAAAATCTTACCTTTCAACACCTGTTTCTTGCACACAACTTCGTCAGCTCGGAAAAGAGGAGCGTCCCCCGGGTTTTCTCCCCCGTCCGCGTGTCGTATGTCCAGAAGTGTCTGCAGCGTCGTCCTGGTGCCCAGCAGCGAGTTCTTCATCGTGTCCACCGAGTAGGCCAGCGTCTTGAGCTTGTCTGCCAGCAGATGGTCGCCTTGACAACACATCCGGTACGAGCCGGCGGATGAACAATGGTTGCTTGTGGCCGTCTCGCTCAAACTTTCTCTGTTTTTCAAGTCGAAGTTGAGTGCGAGTTTTTCAAACTCGAGCTCGTCTAAGGTGTCTTGTAAGGTGAAGGCTGCCGCGATCATGCCGTCTAGCGGGGTTAAGCTCGCCTCGATGTGCTCCAAACACTTCCGGTTCGAGTCGCAGGAATCCGCCGTCTTTTCATTCAAAAGCTGTTTCGTCTGTTCGATTAGCGTGGCCAATTTCGTGAGCTGAGCTTTTTTTGTCTGTCGGAGTTGTCGGGTGTGTGTCTTGGATAGTAGGACGCTGGCGTGGTGGCGTAGCTGGGATTTCCTCGTCTGCAGGAGTCGTAGCTTGCTTTTTATTTCGTCAGTAAGGGCCATTTCTTCGGATTCTATCTGGCTGAACGTTGATTTTAAACTGCTCAAGTTGCGCAAAGCACCGGAGAGCAGTTCGTTGTCGTTCGGTTTCGTTTTGAGCCTGTGTGGATCCGAGTTTTTCTCGAGCTGGTAACGTTTTGAAAGTTGCCTTGTCTTGTCCTTTTCTTTTGGAGCTCCAGTCGTTGGTTTGGATGTCTTAAGAGGATCTGTCGTAGGGAAAGGAAAATTGACCGCGCATACCGGCGCCGTCTTCAAGCTACTCACCATCTGTTTACGCTCCATCAGCATCTGCTGCATGCCGTTGCGCACACATTTGTACGCCTGGATGAAGTCGGTGAGGGTGGATCTCACCTGCTGGTTGTCGACGGTTGTTAGGTAAGTCTCCAGCTCGCGAAACTGGATTGATGACTCCTGCTCCTTACGGCTTCTGGGCTCCTTGTCTCCTGACCCCTGCTCCCTATGGCTCCAGGGCTCCTTGTATCCTGACCCCTGCTCTTTACGGCTCCTGGGCTCCTTGTCTCCTGACCCCTGCTCTCTCTGACTTTTGGGCTCTTTGTATCCTGACCCCTGCTCTCTACGGCTCCTGGGCTCCCTGTCTCCTGACCCCTGCTCTCTACGGCTCCTGGGCTCCCTGTCTCCCGACCCCTGCTCTCTCTGACTTTTGGGCTCTTTGTCTCCTGACCCCTGCTCCCTATGGCTTCTGGGCTCTTTGTATCCTGACCCCTGCTCCTTACCGCTCCTGGGCTCCTTGTATCCCGACCCCTGCTCCCTATGGCTTCTGGGCTCTTTGTCTCCTGACCCCTGCTCTCTACGGCTCCTGGGCTCCCTGTCTCCTGACCCCTGCTCCCTATGGCTTCTGGGCTCTTTGTCTCCTGATCCCTGCTCTCTACAGCTCCTGGACACCTTGTCTCCTGACCCCTGCTCCCTACGGCTCCTGGGCTCCCTGTCTCCTGACCCCTGCTCTCTACGGCTCCCGAACACCTTGTCTCTGGTGAAATATTGCGCTTTGTTCAACATCATCTCGTTGCCTGTTGATGGGTAGACGTGTGCTGTTAATTTACCCGCACCAATTCTAGTTTTCTTCCCTTGCGATTGAAAGTGGCAAGTTTCCATCTTGATAGATCTACTTAGGCAGATTTTGGGGTTAAAATTGACCTACCGATTAAATGAAATATTTTCGTATGTTGCTGAATGTTTGATAAGGGTAAGATTTCAATAGGGGACACACCCAGCGGTAGTTACGCAACAGTAGCATGTTTTATAATCAAGACTGTGTGTCAGATTGTTGTTGAAACATCCCGCAGGAACATCTGACCTAATTTTGCTGCACTTCCGTTCTCCTTCAGGTGCTCTTCAGCGCAAAGCTAAACGCGCTACGCGGAGGTATAAATAGCGCGTAAAGTGTTGAAGTATACTTTTCAAATTTTAAACTGAAATTTTTTATGATAAAAATGGTTAGATATTTTTACAGAAGTCAGCCAAAGTCAATGACTTTGCACACAAATATTATTAACATCTTACTAAATTGTACTTAATATTCTATGCAGAAAGAAAATTGAGAATTCTAAGATTTTCCTCTAATTAGTTTCCCCGTTGCATTTTATTTTCGTTTTTTTTATTTATTTTTTCTATACCGGAAGTTGAAGGCGTGTGTAGTTTTTGGCTTCTTGAGTGACTCACCACTTGTGAATGAATATGAAAGCATGTGTACTCCTGTGTGCTTTGGTCACCGTCTGGTGGAGCGTGTCGGTCTTGCATGCGGAGAGATGCACCTCCAGGTCTAAAGACAGGGCCCTCAACCTTCAGTGTCAGAAGTTGTGTCTGGAGAATTCATGCCCTTCGTATTGTATCTGTCCCAACTATAAAGGTAGTTAGTGTCTGGAGAATTCATGCCCTTCTTATTGTATCTGTCCCAAGTCCCAACTATAAAGTTAGTTAGACACAAGTATCTGGAGAATTCATGCCCTTCGTATTGTATCTGCCCCAACTATAAAGGTAGTTAGTGTCTGGAGAATTTATGCCCTTCGTATTGTATCGGTCCCAACTACAAAGGTAGTTAGTGTCTGGAGAATTCATGCCCTTCGTATTGTATCTGTCCCAACTATAAAGGTAGTTAGTGTCTAGAGAATTCATGCCCTTCGTATTGTATCTGTCCCAACTATAAAGGTAGTTAGACTCATGTGTCTGGAGAATTCATGCCCTTCGTATTGTATCTGTCCCAACTATAAAGTTAGACATAAGTATCTGGAGAATTCATGCCCTTCGTATTATATCTGTCCCAACTATAAAGGTAGTTAGACACAAACAAGGAAACCGATCCAAAGACCTAATTATACTGGGAGTAACACGGGCGATGAACAGTGTTTCTTCCAGACTTTTTTCTCCGGGGGGGGGGAGGGGGCACTTGAAATTTTCGGGGGGGGGGGGGGCGGTAGACTTTCTTCGGGGGGGGGGGGGGGGGCGGACACTGTTAAAAGTATATATTTTCTATATAAATTATATAAATTTCATTTCCTTCGGGGGGAGGGGGGGGGCGGTAAAAAATTTTACCAGATGCCTGGAAGAAACTGGCGATGAACGATCATTGGCAGGTGCTCTTCTTTAAACAACTGTATGAACATAAAGCGCATCACTAACCGATTTTATCGCTAAGTTCTTGTATCACTGCTTGTTCTGATACATGATAAGCTGTGGGTTATATCATGCTTGCAGCATGGTAATAAGTATAGGATCAGATTTTGTTTCGGGTTTTCTTTACAGCAGGCAAAGCTACTATTGACTTGTATTAGGATTAGAGGATTGTCTGCCCATTAACGTAGGTAAAACAAATTCGTATGTGGGTCGGAAACGAGGGGGACGGTGTTGACATTTGTGGTGTTATAAGTGACGATTCAAACTGCAATGTGGCGTGTGGGTTGGATCAAGTTTTCCGGGGAAGGTTGTTTTGGACTTTAGACGGCTCTAGAGAGAAGAGGTAAAAATATTGTTTAAAAGCGTGACGTCATTATGAACGTCTGGCTAGGTGGATTTACCAGCAAAAATAACTTGGGTAGGAACTTCCGGAGGGCGGGCACTAGTACAAGTGTATATTTCCTATGTAAATTATTTCCTCGGAGGGAAGAAGTGAAGATGGGGAGGGGGGGGGGGGGACAGTGCTACCCCGGAGAAATGCCTGAAAGAAACACTGATGGTAATCCTTCTGTTCTATTTGTTTAATGCCAGCTGTCGATACGTGCGCACCATTGGATGTCCCTGAAAACAGCACGCTGAAAGTTCTGGAAACAGCAAGCCCAGGTACAGTAAACAAAGGACTTCAGTTTCGTTCAGGTTTATTGCTCTAAACACAGCAGTCGGTTGTTAGTCGTTTGGTAGTGTCTAGTATCCCAAATCCACCAGTTTACTTCAGCACCACAAGAAAGCGAGCATCATTTCCAAGTCAGTTAAATGGTAACCCCGTGTTTTATTGGGTTTTTTTTGTTTGTTTTTTCTTTTGTGACCGCGTGGACTGGTGGGACGTAAGTAAAGAATCCTCTTTAGACCTGATCCATTGGGTAGATGAAGTAGAGTTTATATGGTTCCTGACCTCGGCTTGTGAAGGGAAGGTGTGGTCAGCATTTTGCCCAGCTATCAGAGCTGGGTGGACTCAGGGACGTACCACTAACATGGACCCGGATTTGAACTCATCTATAGTGAGTAAATATCTACTTTTGTCCGCCATATTGCAGGCACGGTGTTGCTGAGCGTCAACGTAACGGGTCAAGAGGAGTGGGACCTGACCCTCGGGCGTGACCAGACAGTGGACGGGCTAGTCTGGAGCCACCTGAGCTCCTACCTCAAGCTCAGCCAGCTGGGCGGCACGTACGAGATGAGCTTAGAACGGACGCTCGACCTGGAGTGGATCTTTCGACGTTACGTAAGTCTCACCCGCAGCCTAATGAGATGTTTGCCTGAGTTTGTAGGCCAAATGTCAGTCAGACACCTGAGTTTGTAATTCTTATGTCAGTCAGACACCTGAGGTTGTAGACCGAATGTCAGTCAGACACCTGAGGTTGTAATTCTTATGTCAGTCAGACACCTGAGGTTGTAGACCGAATGTCAGTCAGACACCTGAGGTTGTAATTCTTATGTCAGTCAGACACCTGAGGTTGTAGGCCTAATGACATCTGAGTGTCCAGGCCTGTCATTCAGACACCTGAGTTTTTAGGCCTAATGTCAGTCAGATACCTGAGGTTGTAGGCCTAATGTCAGTCAGATACCTGAGGTTGTAGGCCTAATGTCAGTCAGATACCTGAGGTTGTAGGCCTAATGTCAGTCAGACACCTAAGTGTAGGCCGAATTAAACCAGGAGGAACTAGTCCCTGAGTTAGGTCTACTAACAACAACACAATCTATCTATTTGAACATTTGTTTAATGTACTGAAACCGAGTACAACTACGAAACAATGTATTGCTTCAGCAAGCATGGGATCAAGTACTTTTGGACATGTGATAACTAACCTGATATTAGAAGGTCATTAGCTTAATTAATATACCGTTTTGTAATGGTGCTTTACGACTACAAGGTTTACTCAACATCACGTGTTGCCATTTCAGGGAGTGAAGTTGAGAAGTCTGAATTTAAATTTGATATGTAGGACATCTTCAGCCCAGGACCTGGTAAGTGTGATTTTATTGTTTAAGTATGGTTCAAGTCTTTGGCGCCTTTTGTCTGTTTTCATCTGTACATTCTTAATTAATTTTATTAATAGCCAGCATTATGTTCCACACTAGCCCCACGTGCCATCATATTTTCCCCTTTGAGCCCAGGACACAAGGGACCGCTGACTAGCTCCACCATTTCACATGAAAATGTGTTTTCTGTTGTTTTATTCCATGTTTTGGTCTCTGCCCGTGTTTTCTGTTATTTTATTCCATGTTTTGGTCTCTGCCCGTGTTTTCTGTTATTTATTCCATGTTTTGGCCTCTGCCCGTGTTTTCTGTTCTTTTATTCCATGTTTTGGCCTTTGTCCGTGTTTTCTGTTCTTTTATTCCATGTTTTGGTCTCTGCCCGTGTTTTCTGTTCTTTTATTACATGTTTTGGTCTCTGCCCGTGTTTTCTGTTCTTTTATATCATGTTTTGGTCTCCTCCCGTGTTTTCTGTTCTTTTATTCCATGTTTTGGCCTTTGTCCGTGTTTTCTGTTATTTATTCCATGTTTTGGTCTCTGCCCGTGTTTTCTGTTCTTCTATTCCATGTTTTGGTCTCTGCCCGTGTTTTCTGTTCTTTTATTCCATGTTTTGGTCTTCTCCCGTGTTTTCTGTTATTTTATTCCATGTTTTGGTCTCTGTCCGTGTTTTCTGTTATTTATTCCATGTTTTGGCCTCTGCCCGTGTTTTCTGTTCTTTTATTCCATGTTTTGGCCTGTGGCCGTGTTTTCTGTTCTTTTATTCCATGTTTTGGCCTCTGCCCGTGTTTTCTGTTCTTTTATTCCATGTTTTGGCCTTTGTCCGTGTTTTCTGTTATTTTATTCCATGTTTTGGTCTCTGCCCGTGTTTTCTGTTCTTCTATTCCATGTTTTGGTCTCTGCCCGTGTTTTCTGTTCTTTTATTCCATGTTTTGGTCTCTGTCCGTGTTTTCTGTTATTTATTCCATGTTTTGGCCTCTGCCCGTGTTTTCTGTTCTTTTATTCCATGTTTTGGCCTGTGCCCGTGTTTTCTGTTCTTTTATTCCATGTTTTGGCCTGTGCCCGTGTTTTCTGTTATTTTATTCCATGTTTTGGTCTCTGCCCGTGTTTTCTGTTCTTCTATTCCATGTTTTGGTCTCTGCCCGTGTTTTCTGTTCTTCTATTCCATGTTTTGGTCTCTGCCCGTATTTTCTGTTCTTTTATTCCATGTTTTGCAGACACACGAGCTTCCGCTAGAGATTGTTCCTGTCAACGAATACCCTCCAGAGTTCGAAGTTCCTCTCATGTTAAACGTCACCGAGGTAAGTCTTCTTATAAATTATATAAAGGCTGTAGCTCTTCTGTTGTCTGGCCTGCCTCCACTGTATTGTAGGACACACTATTGGACATAATTTTTTTATAGTACTCGAATGTGGTGACACATTTTTTTTCGCAGGACACAAATGTGGGGACAGGTGTGTACACACTCCGCTACCACGCGATGGACATGGACGTCAACCCTTATGGGGAGGAACTTGCGAGCTTTGGTGTGACCAGTTACACGCCTGACCCCACGGTGAGTCTCGTCTCATGGACACGCCTCTATGAGTTATACAAAACAGTGACTCCAAATCAGAAGGCCAAACTTGCTGAAACAAATCTAGCGTCACTGGTTAAAACAAGATAAAATCTGGCGTTAGTGATCGTGGACATTATAATACAAAAATGTGACATTTTGTCGAGCAGATTGTCCCACTTCATATGACGTTATATAAGCTGACATTTCGTTAGAACACGATCCCTTATACTTATTTATAAGAATTACCACCCTCTAAATAACGAAAGAATTCTGAACCAATGTATTTACTTTAAAAAATTATGAAATCAAATCATTTTAGAACATTTTCTTCGATAACAATTGCTAAGTCTTTCATAGTTTCGGTCAACATATTTTTCAAAATATTCTACATCCACTAAACGGCTATTCTTTTGTGAAAACAAAATTAAGGACAAAAAAAATCATAAGCAGTATTTTATAACCTTGTTCTATACCACTATCCCACCCCATTTAACACAGTACAACAAAATGTGCCCTGTAACAAATATAATTTGAATTCTGTTTCTTAGCGTGACGGAAGAGCTTTTTTCGAAATGACGGATCACCAGAAAGGCAGCATTGTTGTCCACGCGCCTTTAGACTTTGAGTATCTTGTGTCGCTTGATTTGGTCAATTTATTTCTCAATCTCTCAGCATCGGTGAGTGACGTTTGTTTTTCTACTAGCGGTACTTGGAAACTGCCTAATTTCATGTATGAATTTGTTGAAGGCGCATACACATAGATCTGCCAACTATTTCTTTCTTTTTTGTCCTACAAAATAAATTACCACAGCCTAATGTCCTCAGAGGCGTAGCGAGGGGGGGGCGGGGGGGGGGGACATATGTCCCCGGGCGCCGACCTTAGGGGGGGGCGCCAAATTGAAAGTTTGAGGGGGGGGTGCAAATGAAAAGTTCGAGGGGGGGTGCAAATCGAAAGTTTGAGGGGGGGGGGGGTGCAAATGAAAAGTTCGAGGGTGGGGGTGCAAATCGAAAATTTGCTCCCGAGGGGGGCGCCAAATTGAAAGTATGTCCCCGGGCGCCGGGGAGGGTCGCTACGCCTCTGAATGTCCTACAATAAAATATGACCACAGCCTAATGTCCTACAATAAAATGTGACCACAGCCTAATGTCCTACAATAAAATATGACCACAGCCTAATGTCCTACAATAAAATATGACCACAGCCTAATGTCCTGCAATAAAATATGACCACAGCCTAATGTCCTACAATAAAATGTGACCACAATAACTGTCCTGCAATAAAATGTGACCACAATAACTGTCCTACAATAAAATGTGACCACAATAACTGTCCTACAATAAAATGTGACCACAATAACTGTCCTGACCTACAGGACTCTCACAACCTAACCTCTTACACGACGCTGACCATTGAGGTCCTTGACGCCGACGACCTGCCCCCAGAGTTTGTTTACACCGGATGTCCAGTGAAGGCCTACAAAACCAGACCTTGCCTGGTATCATACACGGCATCTGTACTAGAAAACTATCAGGTACCTGCATCGGGTTTTATACTAATTATATACGACTTATTCTGTCACACCAAATCGTTAGATTTTTCCTGTTACTTTTATTTGTATCAACTCGCACCTATTAAAGGTACCTAGCTGTGTTTGATGGTGTTGTTTACTCTAATTAATTTGGGTATTTATTACGACGAACAATCTATTGTGATCTCTATAAATTTAGCGAAATTCGAATTGGTGTCATCCCTCCAAATAGTATCAATCGTGGGATACGTACGCCTGTTGATAGATAAATTTGATAGGCGGGGGGGGGGGGGGGGGGGGATTTTAAAAGGGGAAAACATTAATGTCTGAAAATTACATTTTAAAATGTTTGTCCCGTCCACTTCCCCACCGCTTCACTCTTGAAAAATAACTGTCGGCAATAAGAAACACAAACTGTTCAATTTACCTGGCCAGTTGAGATTAACCCAAAAGAAAAAACTTTTTAACCGCTGCTAACCCAGACATCGTCACTTACTGCTCAATAGGTTTATATTCATTCTGTTTTGATAAAGTTAATAGATAGGCTAATCATAATGCAATGCTGTTGTAAAAATGAAGGGTATATTCCGCTGTCTTTACCAGGGCCCGTTGACAAATATTACACCAGCCTTGGTGCAGGCGAGGGACATGGACATGGCAAACAATGAAATAGAGTACAATCTAGACCTGGCGCCTGACGAGAGTCTAGGTAAAATCACGCAGCTTTCTTACTTCCCTTTACATGGAACTCACTATAAGTGAAATACACTATAGGTACAATACGGAGATTTGTTACTTCCCTTTACAAAACATAGAACTCACTACAAATTTATATTCTAGGTAAAATTCAATGAGCTTTTTTTTTACTCCCCTTTATCTAAAAATCAATCCATTTATTAAAACCTAGATCTATGTATAGTCACGGTGCTTTTTTTTTACTTCCCTGTACCTAGAGCTTATGTGAAACATATTACAACATATGGAAAATCATGGAACTTTTTTATTTACTTCCCTTTACAAAAAAATCAGTTCAAATTTCAAATGTAACACAGCCTAGGTAAAATCATAGAGCTTTTTTTTACTTCCCTATACATTGAAGTCGCATAAAACTTGATCTCTAAAACATCCTACTTAAATATACGCTACGCACCATTGAACACAGCGTACGATGTTCACAGACAACATGCAGCACTTCTCCATTAACAAGACCAGTGGCTTGATCTTTCTGACGTCCCCTTTCAGCCAGCCGCTCCGAATTAATCTAGTCATTGTGGTAAGTGGCTTCACGTTTTTAGAACCCGAGGCTAAGCCTAACCCATGGCTCGGGTAGAACGGTGCGACATTGGAGGTCATTCTAAGAAGGTCAAGTTCAGGGTCATCTCTGGTGTGCTACAGTGTAGGAAAAATCAAGTGTAGTCAGTAGTGGAGTATCTGTGTGTGTGGGGGGGGGGGGGGGGGCTTAACGCTTTGATAAGGAGCTAAATGGACAGGGAAACATTTCTCCTTCAAAGACCAGGGGTGGGTTTCACGAAATGGCCACTAAATCTGTTCCGTGGGGGGGGGGGGGGCACTAAATTGTCACTAAATCAGTTACGTGGGGTGGGGGGGGGGACTAAATTGTCACTAAATCTGTTCCATGGAAGGACTAAATAGTCACTTATCTGTTCCGCCCGTCACTAAATCTCCAGGCCAAGGAGATGAGTCCCACAGGCCGGTCAACTCAAGCCATTCTGCAGGTCGAGGTGAAGGCACCCGCGGCGCCAGCATCGGAAGAAGAGAAAGTCAGGAAGATACCGCCCCCTGGAGGTCTGAGCGGCTCTAGCACCAGGTAGGTTTTGTCATCTCTTGACATTCAATGACAACTCTTGACATTCAATGACAATTATTGACTTTCATTGAGAACTCTTGACATTCATTGACAACTCTTGACATTCAATGACAACTCTTGACATCCAGACAACATTTGACTTTCAACGACAACTCTTTAAAGGACCACTCTTTACTTTTGATTTAGACGTTAACTGTCACCTTAAAAATGTTGAGTTGTTTTTTTTTTTTATATCCGCTGCAGCCATGATGGTACCAAAGAATGGTGGGCTGAAGATCGAAATATTTTAATTGTTATTTGCTCGTTGATCACCTCAACTGTTTTCATCTGCGTTATCGCCGTCGTGTTGTGGATGAAAGTGAGAAAACTGAGCCGCCATCTCCGGGTCCACCCCATGCCCGACACAGACCCGCCCCCTGGGTCACGTGACACGGGCTATCAAGAAGACCTCAACAACGCCGCTAGTTCAGACAACGGTCTCGCCCGGTCTACGCTGTTTCAGACACGAAGCTCTGCAGCTTGTAGACCCGCCTCTAAAACCACCAACCACCTAGCAGGGTTTGATGAAAGTAATCCAGAACGTGGGTCTGCTCCAGGCTCCAGTGCTCCCCAGGATGCGAGTTCCGGTACAGCCTCGACATGCGCTGGCAATAAAAGATCAACATCCGGTAGATCTAGTCAAGACGGGAATCTCACCGACAACACCACGCTCACAGTACCAGAACCTGACACACAGAGAGATGTAGACAAGGGCAGCACCTCGCCTAACAACACCGACAAACCTTTACAGCCCAGACTCAGTCCACCACAAGACCACAGGTTACCAGCAAACGATCACACCTCACTCAGCAAAGACCCCCTTGAGGGCAACACAGAAAGCAACCTACCAGCCAGCTACCACCCTCTAGCTCTGAACTTGCCCACGAACATCTTTAGTCCATCTACAATGACAAACTTCACGCCCTCCCCTACATCGTACTTATCCCCATCGCCAACAAGCCTGAGCCCGTCTTTACTATTTTACCTCAGCCCTTCTCCTGTAACTGCAGAGAGAGCCATCCATCAACACGCCGCCTCCAGCGAGTCACACAGAGAAATCAGCTCCGCGGCGTCCATGATTGTCAACGATCTCCGAGCCACGCGGCCGTGGAGCGGTGCACGGAATTCTTTCTCCCTCCCGTCGTTTCCATCACAAGACAGAAGCCAGAAGACCAGGAAGAGACCAGGACTCCACAGTTGGAAGTCGGTCCGTTGGATGAAAAGACGGGCTACACTAAACGGAGAAATGTCAATCGCTAAAGAACAGATTCGGTTTGACCTCGGCAATGTAACGCAGCGGCCTCCGAGTGAGCCCAGGTATCCAAGTCCTAAACCACCGTCAGAGAATAAAGATAAACAACACATTTGTCAAACGGAAGGGAATGTTAGTCAAAACATTAACTCTGGTAGTCCGTGTGGATCGGACCAGGGTCAAAAGTCGTTGACCAAGATGACGTCAGATACTAACATCCGGTTACCAGGTTGTGCTCAGCGCGTGACCTTACCTCCCCAAAACCCGAACCCTGGCCAATCTTCATCGCACGCCAAACTATCTAATCTCGAGGTTGTAAGTAGTGACCAGAGTAAAGCTTCTAACTTCACTGGTACAACAGCGGCAACACATCTGTTCAAAGCTACTAGCCTCACTGATACAATAGCGGCAACCCATCAATTCACTGCGCACAAAACCGACTCTGTGACTGTCCTCCCAACACAACCGTGTATAGCCTTGTATGAGGAAACAAAGAACTTCAAACCATCTCTAAACTGTTCAGAAATTTCCTTGATCAAATCTGATGTAACGACGGTAAAAGAAGGCGTCAAATCTCAACCTATTGATGTGAATAGCTTTAACTACGACAGTGGCATGCACGACAAATCCGTGGAGAAGAAACGTTTTCTTGAAAACCTGACACCTGAAGAAAATCGCATGACCCACTGTAAAATTGTTTTGCCAAACCAAATTGACTTGTCATCAATTGACCAACCGTCCCAGAAAATGTTTTGCTATCAACAAAATCTAGAGCCAAGAATACATAATATGTTCGTTTCTCATAAAGAAAGTGCGCCCCATCAAATGTTTGTCGACCCGTCTAGTCAAATATCCAAAATACATCAGATTTCTGTATCTCCGTGTAACCAAGAGCATGAAAAACATCAGAATTCTATTACTCCGATTTATCAAGAATCCAAAATACATCAAATCTCGGTCTCTCCTTGTAACCAAGAATCCAAAATAGATCAGATTTCTGTGCTTAACCTAGAGAACAAAATGGATGCCACTTGTGTCTCTGTCGAGTCTTCATGGCATCAAATCTCCGCCTCTCGCCACAGTCCCAGCCTATCAGCTCTCTCCACCAGCCCTATGACGCAGGCAGGAAACTACGCAAATGTCTTGACTATTTCTGAGCTGCCTCGACCCCACACAAGCGCCTACGTCACATCCCCATTCAATCAATTTGACGTCAATGATTTGACTCGTCCATGGACTAGCGCAAGTGTAGGTCGTCATATCCTAGAGGCTGAAACAGATCCAGAACACACTGAGAGTTATGTCCCTGGAGTTAGTAGCGATACGTACAGCAGCAACTGCCAACATGAACATCTAGGAACCAACTTTAAGTCTGGTCAAGAGTTGTTGCAGCACAGTTTGATAGACTCCCTCCCAGTCGACAGCAGCAGAGACCTTGAACCGGGAACTTCAGAAATCTGGACACCGAGAAGCATCATACAGACCTAGGACTGGCTTAGGACACAGGCAACGGAAACGGGAGAAGAAGAAGATTAAAAAACGACGACACTTACACGTGGCAAGGCCGTCGTCGCAGTCTGAAGAAGCTGGGCTGAGATATAACGGGATCAACCTTGGCCATCTTAAAAACCACGAAAGTCAACCCTCGATAACAGGTGCGTTCTTCAGCAGACAGGAAACAGAAACAAACGACAGGAGAGAAGCAAATAATTCAAATCCCGCACTGAACCAACATGGCAACCCAACAAGACCACTGCGACTTCCGGCGATGCGCGTAGTCCACTGCCCCAGCCTGCAAGTACAAGACATCGCCAAGCAGCCAATCTACTTGAACACTGCCTGCCTCAACACCGTTTCTATTCCCCAACTCCCTCAAAAACCAGAGGACCAAACCGAACCACAGACAAATTATTTCAGCAGCTCTTTCCACAATGCAGCGTCCACTCCCCAACTCCCCCAAACCCCCGAGGAAAGAGGCGGGAGCGGTCGGGAAAACTCCACCAAAGATGGATCATAACATAATCATGGTAATAGTTGCAAGATATGACAGTGTTGGAACTGGCACGCATAATCTGGTGAAAGTAATTTCTCAGCTCATGGTGTGTGTGTGAACCTGTTTACTGTTTAAATACAATGATAATATAGCCTATTTTATTTTTACAATTTTACAATCATTTTATATTAAAAAATCATTTATTTATTGTAGAAAAAAATTAATTTCAAACAAAGTTTTAAGCCCAATATTTATTGTTAGGTTAAAATTTATTTTTAAAACTTGTTTTTAAGGAGGGGAGTGAAGTGGATGATCGCAATCGACGATTGCTTTTTCTTTTTCAATGTGTCAATAAATGTCGGCTATTGGTGGATTATTAATTGTTTGTTTTTTTACTGGCCCTAGCTAATGTGAAATTTCTACTTAAATTCACTGGATTGTAACAGTCAAATGAACAATTCGTTTTGGCCAGTCAGTTCTTAAATCGCCAAGTTAAAATTTTAGTATTTTTTAGACACAAAATGAAACCCCATAGATTAGATTTGGATGCGACTAGTTCAAAGCTCAGCGGCGTGTCAAACACAAAAACTAATAACTGTCCACTTACAAAAGTAGTTTTGAAATCCTTGCAGATCATTGATTGGTTTTAAGTGGAGTGAATACATGTTTCACAGGAAGAATACAAAAATAAAATGAATGAAAAGCTGATGTTGCCGGATTCGCTCCCTTTATCAGTTATTTCTCTTTGCATGAGCTTATATATAGATCTACTAATCGATCCATGCCACATGACGTCATGTTTGTGGGTCTAATAGTTTGAAAGAAATAATAACAATTCATTCTCCAAACATAATTTTATGGGGGGGGGGGGGGGGGGGGGGGCATCGGCAATAGGTGAATGTTGAAATTTTTAAAAATTTGGAATACATACAAGGGACACCACTCTTTCTTGAAATCGTTATCGTAATTAGTATGTAAATAAAACACAAATATATATATATTATACATATATATGCCTATATACATGTATAATGGTATATAGCTCCCCCCCACCCCCCCCCCCCCCCCATAAGAAAATCCTACATATGCCACTTTGTTTTGCATTGGTTCAGTAAATGTGAACTGTTAATCAAGTACTCCAAATGAATAACTAAAATATTTATGTGAATTCATCAATTGATTCAATTAGACATGATTAGAAAAAAACAGGTGGGAAAGTGTAGTTGATTAAATGACTATGAGTTGCCAGTTGTACTGGAGGAATAAAATGTAGCCAGGTACACAGGAAAATTTGAAAATATTTTCAAAAAACAACATTGAAAATAAAAAATGAACTCTCATATAAAAACAATAAAAATTCAGGTTATTTTATTTTAAATAATGGTAAGTTTGAATGTGATAAAATCAATGTTTGAAATGGGATAAAAATCAATGTTTGAAATGTGATTAAAATGAATGGTATGTTTGAAATGGGATACCTGCTTTAGAAACAACAACCAGACAAAGCAACATAATATATTTTTTTTTTACTTGCCACCCCAAAACTACACACAGACCAGTTGCACAACATTTGCTGATACAAACACTTAGAGGCCAACAACAGAGTCTTGATCCATTACATGAATAAATTAGCATAAAAAAAAACTACCATTTCAACAAAGGTCAAGTGTAAATGTAGGTATAGGCACATTTTCACACTTAAAACATTTGAGGTCCAGGAATTCAGGAGTGTAAAATAGCAACGCTGCACTTAAGCTTCAACCCTGATGAAATTCTCATAGATGGCCTGCGCTGTCAACGTAATCATCAGTACTGTACAAATTTACAGACTCTTGGGACAAAAAGTTTCTGTCCAAATTTTCAATGCATAGCAACTTAAAATGACTTAAAATTTAAGTTACATTTGGAAATTTTTTCCATGCCTTATTAACGATGTATAACAAAGCACAACACAACTTAAAATTTAAAGTCTGACCTAAAAAACATGTTAATAAAACAGGCCATCTCCAAGACACCAACATAATTAAAGATGCACTTTATTTTTTTTTTCTCTAGTTTTAAAAATAAAGGGCTGACAAAATCTGCAGCTATTCTTTTTAAATATAATGGCAAGAAACAACAATAAAAATAAACTGCATTGTTCAAGCACAAAACACAGAATATCACTGCATTTATATTGAGCAAATGTATAACTGATGGGTGGGGAGGGGGTGGTTATAATCTAGACACAAAATAAAACAAATCTTTTTCCTCCTAACAGTACAATGTTTAAAAATTAGCACTTGAATTATTTTAAGTATTGCCTTTTTTTCAGTTGCTTTATGATAAATGAATTTATAAAAATAAAGAACTATAAATTTAGTAAGAATGATGAAAATGTGGCATTTTATTATAAAATACACTGCAACCATAGTTTACACAGCTTAGTAATATTTATTAGAATGTATGTACACAATATAAAAACCAATGGCTAATCACTAACAAAATATTCTGATGTCATTATTGCTAGGGTAACAACAAGTTTAGGTCAGCTTTTCTTTTTGCAAAATATGGGAGAAAGTTTTCACACAGATGTTTGTGATGAATCCAGCCAAGATCTACACCAGCCCAAAGCCCTGCGTCTGCTGGATGGCCATTAAAAGTTTCTCCTTCAGGGTGGCCTTGTTTGTGTACCTGGGCAGGTCGAGCATGTTAAAGCAAGTGTGGGCCACGGGTAGGAAGTGCTCTCCTCCACTTGAAGGTTGAATTGTTATCTGTAAACACAATTTAAGTCATGACTTTTCACATTTAACATAAAACACCAACAGAAAAATTTTTTATAGGAAAAGAGTTTATTACCTTTACATGTTTCATGCCAAATACTGGAATACGATCACTGCCAGTTAAAAACACTGAAAATAAATAATTGGTAGATGTTTTAAATGAAGTAGGAACAAAAAGTTACTGAAAGCAACAATCATTTATTATTGTTTAGATTGTTTTTATGATAAGTATCTAGATCTACTAGGAACACACTAAATTATATAAATAATTAGGTATTTTTGAAAATTCTGAATTTTTTTTTAAACTGAAAGAATTTTTTTCCACAAACAATAAATGTTATTACTAGAACCCAATGTAGCATAAATTCTAAAGTGTAATCATTAATAAAATAATGCAATATCAATAACAAAATAAGGCAGTCAGAATTTTTAAAAATGACATATCAGAAATAAAATAAAAGAATTTCAGTAATAAAAAAAGACACTGTCTTTAACTTACACAAGAATTTTTTCTTGTCCTCTAGAGACATTTCATGAAAAACTTCCCAAAAGATTTTTATTGTTGGATGATACTTGTGATAATCTTGCTTGTAGTCTGTGTTCTGTCAAATACAAATGTGAGAGAAATACTGATCAGTTCTACAAAATATACCACTCAGCTCACATAATACATGGTACCAGTTGTTATACAGTTCTATGGAAGACCTATTGCTGACCTATTAACATATTCTATGAATCAACACCATTGAGAAATTCTTTGGAAGAAACATCATTGGCATATTCTAAGAAACACCACTATTGATATATTCTATGAAACACCACTATTGACATATTCTAAGAAACACCACTTTTGACATATTCCATGAAACACCACATACTCTAAGAAAGACAACTGAGCTCACCTTTTCCAATTCATTAAAATCATAGTCCTCATTTCCTACAACCATGGCCTGAAGCTCCTGGGGCTGGAAAAGTTCTAGCACCATCCCACCACACACTGAGTGGAACCCATTGTAGAACGCCCTGAACGGGACCTCCACGGACTTATTCAGGATGTAGTCCACATACAGATTGATGTAATCATGTCTAAAGAGAAAAGACAATGGGGGGAATAAGAACCTTCAACATTTTTTTTTTCCAGTTACCAATAAAAAAGCTTAAGGAATATACAACTTCATAATACTTTATATACTTTATCAATACTGGTGTCTAGGGAAAGAAAAAAAAATCAATAGTTACACTGAAAATATAGGAAAGGTACCATTAGCATAGAACAAAATGTTATCAAAACAGTTATCCATAATGACAAAAGATCAAGTAGGTTTCACTTACTTGTTACTTTGGTTGACAGTTTTGTTATGCCCATCCGGACATAACTCAATAGCTTTGGACTCACCAAAAACTTCTTGCATTACCTTAGAGATTAAAACAGCGCTTGTAAAATATAGTTAACAACGTATAGCAGTCATTAAAATGTGGAAAGAACTTTCAACACCATACCTCGAATGCTAAACAATATACATCCTCAAATTCATCTCCTTCAAAGTCTAGCATATCTTGTAAACTTCTGGAAAACAAATAAAAAATTCAATTTTAGTATTAAAATTTAAGACAAACTTACGTCAATATAATTTGAAATCATCTAACATTTATAAATATAAAAAATAAATTTACTGTACTGTACTCTCCTAACCAGAATTTTAAGCAATTTTTTGAACACATTTTAATACTATAACAAAAAAATTGGTTTTAGACTGTTCAAAGAAAAAATTTAAAAATTGCAAGACATATCGTGACCTACTTTCCAACTCCTGGATCAAGCTCTTTTATATCATCTAACGTCACAGGTCTGAAACAAAGTTACCATCAAGTTAGCATCTCTGGATAATAAATTCTTATTATAATAATTATTCTGGTGATAATTTCAAGCTGAAAAAGAATCACTATGTCAGCCATTAGTTTCTTATACTTATACTTTTTAATACTTTAATACATATTATTTTATTGGGTAATGGCTTCTTTTGCAGTTTGTTCAATTTTTTTTAGATTTCATTATGTTATATCATAACATGCTTGCAATAGCATTAAAATAATATACTTGCTAGAATATTGTTTTTTAAAACAGTCTGTAAACTATTGCTTAGTAACAAGCAGTCATACATTTTTACTACTTATGAAAATAGAAGTCAAAATAAAATAATGTACAACAACTTAACAGTTTTCTGAACTATATTTTGTTGACAACAATTTCTTCCCAAGTCCATTATAGTGCTTTTCACTAATATATTTAAAATAAAACGTTGCCCACTGTATGGCAATGAGTATATTTATAGCAATATATGCCAGTTGATACAGATATGGTTTCTGTTATATGAAAGTTGCAGTAGATATTGTTCCTACCTGTTCAGTAATTTTTTAAACAATGCTTGTGGGAAATGGAGATCAATGATTGTAAAGTTGTAGATGGCCAATCCACAAATGTTTCCAATCAATTGAAACATATTTGCTTCCTCGAATGTCTAGGGATTAAATACATGTTCATGCAGTTTTTTGTATACAAGTCATTTATGTTAGAAGTGTTATAATGATAAATATAGCAATTCACAAGCTAAAAACAAGACACAAATATTTTGATAACTGAAGTTAAAGGGAAATTAATGTGAAGTCAAGAAAACATTAAAATTGGAGGGAAGTCTGTTATTGCACAAAAGAAAAAAGCTGTGTAGTGAGCCATAAGAAATAGACTGGTTAGTAAAAATGTGTTGCGACCATCAGTATCAAACTTCCAGTCCTGTGTCTAAAAGCTGTGCCGATTACATCAGTGAAAGTATGGGAATGTGTGTGAGTGAACAAAATTTAATCAGAACCTCTAGACACTTACAGATGGATTAAACCATTGGAGATTGGAGCCTTCGTGAAGTTTAAACATGCCATATTTAGG